TTCACCGCCCGATCCACTTTTATCACAGAAAGGAGAAACTCTGCCGGTACAACGCGATCCTTTTACAGGCTTAAACTTGTGCTCAGTGCCACTCTACCACTTCCATAAAAATGTGAGGCATGCCTACTCACATGCACTCAGCGTGAACCCATCCACGTGGAATCCAGCCACCCCCGATGATAGATGTGGATGATTCCATGTAAAATACAAAGCTGTTCTGACAAAAGTGAAACACTTCCAGCTTCGGTGATTTGTTTTTAATCTCTCCTCCCTTCATTGTGCAGTGACAGGCTGATAGTGGACGTCCTTGTGAGCCGGTCAGATGTTGATGAAGACGACAGTCGTTCCCACAGAGGGGTCAAAGGCAGGAATCTTAAATGATTCATCTTGGAAAGTGTGAGAGCACGGGACAGAGGAAGTGACTGACAGCGTGGAAGGTTGGGTGGTCGGGAGCAGAAGAACAAGGTCACTGACCCCGGGGGAGTGGAAAGTTAAAGATGTAGGTCTGAAGATGAGGAACGATCTATAAAAGGAGACATGTGGCTGTTTTTTTACAAGCTGACACATTTTCCTGATCTCTTAATGAATCTTTGCTGAAAACAAAAACCCCAAAATATAGTATGTTTTACAGACAGGCCTTAGGAAAGTATTCTGTAGGAAAGTTGTTGGTGTAGACGGGACGTTTGGTGACAATTAGATTTCCTTACTTCAAACAAAGAACCGGTGGAGGATTATTTACCCACTTATGTCTTGAGTCTAGTGAACTTTAGATTATATCATATCAAATAAAAAAGCACTAACATATTGGTATGGATTTCCAGCCCTCGTGGGGCAGTGAATGCAACATGACGCTGAATTGCAGAAAAGATGCAGAGGCAGGATATTTCCACACTGTAAATCTAATCTGCCCATTAGTTTAGAAATGTGTTTTAGCAGGCTTTAAGTTGATTGTGATTTTGGACACTCTAACATAAGCTGACTGCCCACTTGAGCTGTTACAGAGAACAGCTCTGAAGCCCTGTGTTGGCCGTGCCACCGCAGGCTTTTTGCAGAATAACATCTTTTCTGGTCTACTGACTCTGCTGTCAGAGGAAAAGTTGCTTTGTCTCATTTAAAAGGAATTTCACCAACACACCAGCATTAAGTACACATTTCTTTTGTGTTTGTTCAGTTATGTGCAAAAAACAGGCCCAAGAAAGTGATGTAGTACGTCAAAGAATTTTGTGCACCATGGGTTTTATACTTATGTATCAGATCATGAAATGAAGCATTTTTTTCTTGAGGGGACAGAAAAGCACTGCAACAGCAGCTAGGGTCCTGGTTTGAACCTTCTTCTGGGGCCTTCTGGGGGAGCGTTTGCACGTTGTCCCGCGTCTGCGTGTGTTTCCACTCAGAGCTTCTGGGATCCGTCACAATTCAAAGACATGTGTAACGGATTATATGGTGAGTCTTCATTGGCTTTGTTTGAGTGTGAGCATGGAAGACTGTCTGTGACGCTGGTTATGCTCGGGATGGACCGAAAGCTTTTTGAATGCTGTATATCGGCTGGTGATTTATTTTCTAAAAACAGCATTGGAGAAACCTTTATTTTTAGTCGAGAGGTGAACAGTGAATATTTCACAGGTGCCCATATCTGGCGATAACCCCGACCAGAACCCACAGAACCAAACCTGTGAGTATCCCTCCCCTTAAAATCCACATAGATTCATCTCACACCAGTGAAACATTTGAGGTATTTTGGGTGGAGAAAATGCTGTCATGTCTACATCGTGTTTTACTAATTCAAAGCCAGTTCTTCTTGACCCGACGCTAATCAGCCAAAGGTCTGCCCAGGCCCGGTCCATTTGTGATGCGGCATTCCCGCTCTGTTCATCTGGCTACGAGACAAAAGATGCCATCAAACAGCAGCACTGTGTCAGTGTCATGAGGTTGATTTTCTCCGTCCAGGAATTTTCTTTCATCCACGGCTAACGTGTTCACGCTGGGTTTAATTTACTTCCCTGCCGAATGCTTGAAACATGTAAATCAGGAACGTTTACAGCTTGAACTGAGCCAATAAAGTCAGTGTCTGTATGAGTCATGAGAGAGTTGGCTTTTACAGGGCTGACCTGTGACAGCGAGCGTTTAGCACATGACATGGCAATTGCACGGATGATGTGGCAGCACCATGGAGAGCAACGCCTTCTTCTTCTCCAGTCACGGTGACAGAAACCACCAGTTTTTTCTAATACCTTCAATTCTATATCCAGACGTCAAAGAAATGTTTGTCTAATGATATTGTCGTGAACAAACCATGACATCTTCTTCTAACCAAAAATTAACTGAACAAATCAACTCTGAAACACTAGAGTAAGTTTTCTCTTTGGGTTTTTCGGCCTCTTTATATGGTACATTTGTAAGCCCATAACAAACAACACAATTTCAAACTGAATTTTTTGACGTTTCAAAATGTTAGATTTCACCACAATGCGATTTGAGCCCGCCCTATCCAGAAGCCTGTGATATACCATCACCATGGTGTGGCACGGTGGGGGCTGGTTCCTCTCTCTGGTCTTCTTTGGCCCCTGACCGGACTCATCAGGTTAAACCTGAACAATTGAATCAGTCCTGACAGGCGCGACAAATGGTTCCGGAAATTAAAGATGTATTACCAACAGATGCGTTTTTAAGAGCCGTCATTTCTTTTTTGGACAGTCAGACCTACTGCAGGTGGGCCTCCTGAAAAGTGAACCAGGAATGAACCTGGGAACATGTGTTGGACAAGCAGCTACTAATGACCATGCCACAGACAGGAGGCAGGTGGGACACGCATCAATTTACGCAGGATGACAAATGCCCTGGAAGCATGTGCAGGCCCCTTTGATACTGGCTTTCAAAGCTCTATTGGCGACAGATACGCTTTATTACCGCATTATACACCTTGAAAATGAACAACTACTGTGAAAAAATCTAAGACGAATCAGCCACCTCAAATGTTTACCACCATCTCCACAAACCCAGAGGACACATGCCACACCTTTGTGTTTGTCTTTGCTTGGCAAGATCAAACATGGATCCTGAACAACCACAACATAATAATTAAAGAAAAACTTCACTTGATTAACTTGGAACTAAACTCGTGTGACTAGCTTTTGTTCTGGGCTTTTATATGTTGCAAGCCCACACAGGCGGTTGTCAGCCTTATCTCGGAGGCAAATATTTGTAAGAAATGTTGAGATATTCTTATCACGTGTTTATCTTTTCTCCTGTTTAGTCTGAGCTTAAGTTTTTGTGAGAGAGAAAGGAAGATGGATCCGAGTCGCTTCAAGCCAAACACACAAACACAAAGGGGGATGGCTTGTACTGGCCGTGTCTAACACACACAGACAGGCCCAGCGTTCACGTTTACACCTCTAGTGCATTTTGCCGTCTACATTCCTGACCATCCACAATGATTTCCCTCTTTATCTCAGAGGGAATATACCTTACACTTAATCTGTCAGCACCCAGCTATTCGCTGAGGGGTTTTATTACGGTGCAGCTCGGTGCAGCCCGGAGCGTCGCTGTGACTAAAAGCTCTTTTTCCAGAACCCGTCCGGCTTCAGCAAGCCGCAGGAGAGCGTCAGGGAAGTGTCCTAAAATGACAAATCCGAAAGACCTTTAGGAAGTCGAGGTCAGAGGATGGAGGGAACATGCCCCGACAGTCCCCGGCCCCCGGGATAGGATCTGTACACGCTGGGCTTTGGTTTGATTTAACATAGCTCTTGGCACTGATGATAAATGGAGCGCAGTGTGACAAAAACAAGATTTTTCTTGCTTGGGTGTATTTGTTGGCTACCAACCCTGTTATGATATGTACACATATAATCAGTTACTGTATTTATAAGAGAAAGAGGTGTGGTGAATACTGTGCTAAAGAGGACAAGACTGTAAATATAGACATGAGTCAATGTCTCGCTGGGTCAAAGTTCTCCAGTGAAATAGAATGAATCAATCTTTGGAGAATTTTGTAAACCTACTTTTTATTTTATTTTTTAACATTCTGACTACTTTCAAGGCTTGTTGACGTTTTATTCCACAAATTCCTGGGCCAAATACTACTTTTGAGTGCCCGTGGGCTGAGATACCGCAGTTCATAACTTCTCCAGATCTGCACCACAAAACGGAGCTTTTCGGTCCGTTTGGGTTTTAGTGGGCTTTTAATGACCTATTTAGCCACTTCAGTGTTACAAAATGAACACAGTTTACAGCTGTACATGTACTGTACACCTCTCACACAGACTTATTTTAAGGACAGTTGTGTGACATAGGACAACTACAGGGGGAGCCAAAGAAATAAAGGTGTCACTTGAACTCGGGGCGGACTGCAGTTGTCCAGGGAAACTGACCCCATCTGGCCTCATCAGTAGTTTGAAATGTTACAAAATTGTGCGTCTATTGTTATAAAAACAGCTGTGACGCATGATGGCCTCTGTAATAACTCGGAATTGTAACACTTCCAAGTTCTACAAATGGTCTGACAGGATGTAGAGACTGATGCTTTGGTTGTGTCCACACAAAGAGCTGTTAACGGCACATGCTATCATTTCTCCAACGGCCATGACACAATCAGGTTATGTTGTTTTTGCACGTAAACAAAACAGGGGAATCGTGAAACGGGACATCTGCTGTGTGGAGCTGGATCTTAGCGTTTGGTGGGAGGCTGCCGTGCACGGGTCAGGCGCTAGGACCAGGCGGACCGGCCCCTGGTGGAGAGAAAAAGCTCTCCTCTCTGAGCAGAGGCTGGATTTGAGGCTGTGGGTCTGCGCCGGACAGGTTGTAGGGGGACGTCCGGACATCCACTCTGCACCTGGCGCTTCATCTGTACGCGCTTTGAAAGGGGGAAAGTAGGTTTCCCCTGCAGGGGGGGGGCTGGCACAGATATAAGAGAGGAGGGGGGAGAGCTACCTGCCACCAGAGATCATGAGAGAACCCAGGAGACATGATCAGGAGGGACCCGTCTGAGGAGGTGGGCGATGTAACTGCGGTTTAAGCGAGGACCAGCGATCTCTTTCGAGGAGAGAAAAGGTATTCGGTTTTTCCCGGGTTAGTTTGAGAAGAATTCAGTTAATATTTTCCCCATTTTCGAGATGCCTGAAATGATCCACGTGTACCTTGTTCTCTGGTTCTTGCATGAGAGAAGTTGAGGAGATGTGTTGCTAATGTGTGAGTTGAAAATTCAGGATAGATGACTGTTTTTTGGTTTGTTTGTTTGTTTGTTTTTTGCATACATACAGGTTAGTTTCAAAAGAAAATGTTTGCTTTCTGGTATATGAGACATGTGAGATGGAGCCCTCTGTCTTCCCTAATTTTATTCGGTTGCAAACACAACATTTAGAATATGTGAAATTACTTTTGTAAATTTAATTCAAATTCACTTTTCACCTGTTGCTTGAATGTGCCTTAAAAGGATACAAGTATCGTCCAATTGAAATGCATGATTTTGACTTTGAAAACTGTTTTCCTCCTATAACTTTGCATTGTAAGTAACAGTGAGAGCCCAAGGTTCAGCCCCTTCCAGCATGTTCCCCTGACTTTAGTGTCAGGAACTCCCCTGTCTTTTAGTATTTAAGCTCGGAGAATGAATGCTCTTAAAAATATCTTTTGTCTGATCCTCACAAAAGGACATAAAAGGGCCTGAATTATATTTTCAACTCTACGTTTAGAGCCTTCAACCTTTTTTTTCTCCAGTGTGTGTCAGTAGCAGCTTCTTTTACCCCCTGACCCCTCCCACCTGACGCCCCGCATCATGGAGGGAGATGTACTTTTGCTTGCTTACATGTGCTCTGTGTTGTAACCTGGCCTCCGTTTGTAATGCGGCGCCGCGCAGCTCCCAGGTGTGAGCGCAGGACCCACCCAGCTCTTTGTCAGGAGGAACCATTCGCCGCCCTGCCTCGACTCGTCGCCTCTCACTTTCCACCACACCTGCTGCTGCGGTCGGGCCGCGGCTGCCTGAGGATCCACGGCCTCTGGGGGGGGGAATCAACAGCCTCTGGGGGGGGGTCCATTATCTCCTCTGCCCGGATAATCCGCCCTGAGAGCTCTGCGTCTGCGGAAATGTTGTTAATGTTTGATAGAGAACACTTTGTATCTGAACTTTAATGAATATTTGACATGGAGCCGTTGACAACCCCCCCACCCCCATTCCCCCCCCCACCCCTGTCTTGGAGTGTTGCGCTCAGGTTTCTGCTAACTGCGTCCCTCTCTTTATTGGGACCTTTATGTGGAATTTGTTTGTGCCTTGTGGTGCCTGCCGGAGCGTAAAACGCCGGTTCGATTCCCCTCGGGCCGAAACCCGACTTTCCCTGGTAATCTATAACGTAGGAACAAGAGGCTCATTGTTGCCTCTCTGTAGCAGATGAAGTTCAGGCCCGCCGTTGCAACACTCCGGCGTGTAAGCTGACCCCCACTCGCACAGGCGCCCTGATTTACAGTCCACAATCATCTGGAAAGGAGTCCAGGAGGGATTAGAGTTGCTCTGTTTGTGGGGCTTCTTTTTTTTATTTTTTTGTTGACGTTTTACTGTTATTTGTTTGGCAGATGTGGGGGAGCCGCTGACCGGGTTTCTGTCTGCCTGCTTCCAGGGTTTTTTTCCGTGATGGCGGCGCGTGGGATCCCCCCCCCGACCGGCCTGCTCCTGCTCCTCCAGCAGCTGCTTCCTCTGGCCTTGTCTCTGCTCCACCACCCTCCCGTCCACGTCCCCGCCCTGCTGCCCCGCGCCCCCACGCCCCTCGCCCGCTCGCGCTTCAGCGCCCGGGCCCGGCTGGACCTCACCACCCGCTGCGACTCCAGCTGCTTCCGCCGGGCGCCGCCGGGCGAGCGGCTGACCGACCAGCTGGCCTTCGAGACGCTGTACGCCGACGGCTCGCGCACCCTCACCGCCGTGGACGTGGAGGGCGGCGGCGGCGATGGTGGCGGGGACCCGGAGGGGGATCCCCTCCCCCGGGGGCGCCCGGCTCCCCGCCGCCGGCGCGTGAGGCGGCAGATCTACGGGGCGGACGGGCGCTTCAACATCCGGGGAGACCACTTCCTGCTGGACTACCCGTTCTCCACGGCGGTGCGCATCTCCACGGGCTGCACCGGCGTGCTGGTGTCCCGGCTGCACGTGCTCACCGCCGCTCACTGCGTGCACGACGGCCGGGACTACGTCAACGGGGCGCGGAGGCTCAGGGTGGGCTTCCTCATCCCCCCCTCCGTCAACGCCAGCCAGAGCGGGGCGGCGTCCGGCGGGAAGCCCCTGGTCCGGTGGGTGAGGGTGAAGCGCACCCGCGTGCCCAGGGGCTGGATCCAGGGCCCCCAGGAGGTCAGCATGGACTTCGACTACGCCCTGCTGGAGCTGCGCTGGCCGCACCGCCGTCCCTTCATGCGGCTGTCCGTGGCTCCGTCCTCCCACGACCTGGCGGGGAACCGCATCCACTTCTCGGGCTTCGACAGCGACCGGCCCGGGGAGCTGGTGTACCGGTTCTGCCCCGTGGAGGAGGAGTCCAGCGACCTGATCTACCAGCACTGCGACGCCCGCCCCGGCGCCAGCGGCTCGGGCGTGTACGGGCGGGTGTGGGACGACGGCCTGGAGCGCTGGGAGAGGAAGGTCATCGGAATCTTCTCCGGACACCAGTGGCTGGAGATCGACGGGGAGAACAGGGACTACAACGTGGCCGTGCGCATCACTCCCCTGAAGTTTGCCCAGATCTGCTACTGGGTGCACGGAAACCGATTAGACTGTGTCCAAGACTGAGGAAGATTAGAAAAAAGACAACAAAAAAACAGCCTAAAAAATATGAGAGCACAAAGTGACCTTTAAAAAATACAGGGTTAACTGTCCGATTGGGGAGGGAAGAGGAGAAACAGGCCTGAATCCATACAGGAGACTCGTTCCACACCCGTAAAGCAGAACTGCCTTTGGATCCATTCCCCACATTGAGATATTTAATTTGGTCCCTGTAACCTCCGCTCCCATTTAATAAATCTGCTCGTGAGATCATCAGACGGCACGTTTAACCCGCACAGTCAAATAAAGCTGTCAGTGTTTCCACAGTAAGAACTCCAGCCATTTTTTTAGCCGAGGGGAAAAGGCAGCAGATTGTTTCCCTGCTGTGGAGGACCGTACTCCACAAACGACACGCTCCCAGCGTTCCTGCTCTTTCTTCAGGGACTCTTGTGTTTCGGTAACTCTTTGAGAATAACTCAGCTGCTTCTTGTCTAATCTATGTTGAGAGAGAGAGGTCTCTTATTAGGTTTTAGGGGGAGTAGTTGCCTCAGAGTGGACCGGAGACGCCGAATGTTAACTTTATTTTTCTGAAAAGGGCTTGACCTATTTTAATAAACAGAGATTTATGGATGTTTGTATGCAGTCTTCTTCTCTAGAGTTAGTGCACCGCCATGTGGCCACAGCGGGTACTGCAGCTTCTGGATGTTAAAAAGTTTAAAATGCTAACATCCACCTTTAGGATCAAAATGAAAAACACAGAAATTAAACTAAATGAAAAATATTTTAACTGTTCTACATTATCCAGCTTGTGTGAATCTGCTACGTCAAGATTAATCATCATCCATCAGTAAAGTACATCAATATTATCAAATAAGGAAGTAGTTAAGTCATCATTCCCATCAAGCTTCGCTTTAGACTTTAAAGATGCGTTTGTGCACAGATGTGCACTGAGAGAAGGTCGCTTTGATTTCAAAGATAACGCCTGTGGCATGAAATCCAAAGCAGAAAAAAAATAAACTTGAAGAAAAGCAGTACAAATCAGTAGTTTAGTGCTTTTTATTAGAGATAGGGAGACGATACAAAACATCCACCGTTCAGTTTTCAATCTAAACTCTGATCGCTGCTCCTTCATATACACATTGCTCCCCATCAGACCATCATAACACCGAAGTTTTGAAATCGAGGAAATCCTGGTTTTAACACGTAAGAGGAATGTTGTCTGTTCGTTACATCAAGTGCCATGTTCTCTGGCCCAGGACTGGAAATGAAAAGGAATCAGTCAAGTGTTGCAAATTGCATGTTTAAAAAGAAAAAAGACCAATGGAATAACAAAGAAAAAATATATATATTTAACCGTGTCCCGCCCCATCCCAAACGTTTGTGCAATCAAGAGTGAATTAGTTTCTACTACAACTAGTCTCAACTACACGCACTTAAAAAACAACTAGAAGTTTGGCAAAAAAAAAAAAAATATGTAGTGAAAACAATTTTGTCAGGATTCAATGGTTGGGGGGAAAACAAAAAAAAAGGTCCCTGCCTGTCCCTTTCTCTGAAATCATTCAAGTGGAACGGACAGAGCAGAACCCATCCTTAAAACATGAACAAATGTGTATTTAAACTTCATCATCCTTCATCAGTTGTATCTAAGCATTTTCCTTCGTGTGTGTGTTTTGTTCATAATCTGTATGTTGCATGAACTGGAATGACAGTCTGTATTTTTATTTTTTTCTTCAAACTTTTCTGGTTTTCTTTTATTTTCAACTGTCGCTTGATCCCCAGAGACCCACCCGCTATATTCCCTCCCCAAGAGTCCCGCAAATAGTGCTGATTCTGCTTTTGCCCCTTCTCCACACCAAACTGGAATGAACAGCTAAACCCAACAGATGTGTCTGAGAGGCTTCGGGCGAAGCCGGAGATGAGGGAGGCGCCGTTTATAAAGGGGATCCCTCCAGGCTGATTACTGATGAGCCGCCCAGCTTCTCTGCCAGGGTGTGCCGGTCTTTGAGGTCCTCCAAGCCGTTCACCTGCCACTCGTGCTTGATACCTGGAACGAAGCCAGAAAAGCCACTCGATGAGTTTTCAGAGAAAAACATGCTTGCTGGTAGGCCGAAATCAGGCAGGTAGTAGCTTTATTTGAGCATTCTGCCATTATAAAAAAAATAAATAAATAAAAATTATTTTTCTTCTGCATTGTCAATAATAATAATACTAGCAATATGAGCCAGCAAGTCAGTTTCCACACTCATCAACTTGCTCTAACAAGCACCCTGGGTTTGGATCTTCTCTGGTCTCTGATGGGAAATAAGTGCTAAACTTGTTTATGAGGCAGTCTAACTGTGCGTTAATTGAGCACTAGAGGATTACTCAAACTGGAGGGGGAAAAAACTAAACAATATAAAAAAAAAAACAACACAAACTCTCCATCTCTGCATAAGTGATGAGGAGGAGTCTAAGGCTGGAGATTGGAGAGCAAAACGCCGAGCTGCAGCTAAAATGTGGAGAGTCGAAGGGACTGCAGAGTCAGGTGATGGCTCTCTCTGGGCCCAGAGACGTTTGCTGAGTCACTGGAGTCGGCGGGCCTCGGGTCTGGCTGTGTGCTGGGCGTGGCTCGGATTTTTTTTTGGTGTGGAAGAAAACCGTTTGCGTACCTTCGAATTTTCTCTTGATGGCATCTTTTGAGCTGGCATAGATCATCTTGCTCTTCAAAGGAGCACTCTCTGGAGCCCTGTGGAACACGGAGGAAACATTAGAGCCCGGTGTCCCCACCCCGGGGTCAGACAGCTGCTTATTCTACGGCGAGCCGCTCTCCCACCAGAAGATGAAGACCAGGTCCTCCTTCTTTGTCTCTTTGGTCTCGTAGGTGGCGTCGTACAGGGCGTAGCGGCAGTCGTCGGGGGGCAGCATCTTCACAAAGTGCTGGTACGGGTCCTGGACGGTGGTGCCCAGGTCTCCCTGCAGGATCTCTTTGCCGTCGTCCAGAACAATGTTCTTCAGGTCCTTGCTGAGGCAGAACAGAATGGCCTTCTTCCTCTTCTTCTTCTCGTCCTCGTTCGCCTGAGCCTTTCTCACCTTCATCTCGTTGAAAACGGTGATGACTTCATCTGTGACTTTCACACCGGAGGCCTGCAGAGAAAAATCAGTCTTAACAGGTCTGAGGGTTTTTTTTTTTTACAGTTACATGGAGCTGCTGCCCTGACCAGTACTGCCCCCCCGTCGAGCACCGCCACCACAGAAAAACCTCGTCTCTTAACACTACAGGGCCCGGATACTTCTCGTAACATGGAAATCCCACCTCTGTCCCCAAGCTCACAAATGGTTTGTTCATGTGAATTTCACATTAAATAAAAAAGGGGAGGTACAGATAACAGATCTAACCAAGAAATAGGCCAGGCTTTATCATAATGCAACGTTCAAACGCCATTAATGTCAGATCCAAAATTCCACCACCGATCATTTAAGTGCAGTATAATTTAACATGTTTTGCATCTAATCTCCTGGATTCACGTTTTTCCAGATGTAGTTATGCTTGTTTTGATAAATGTCTGTTTACACTCACATGATTTCAGACAAAAAAAAAAACATGAATATCTGCATGTGGGGACTTCAGCTCGCTGCAGTGTTCTGACAACAATCCAATCGCTACCTTCATTTGAAATTAAGTCAGCTCTTCATTGACAAGGTGCTGTCTAATACTCACTTTATTTCACCCAAACTGTAAAGCAGCTCTCTGAGGCCACCGCTTAAGTATATTAAATGCAGACATTATGGAGAAGAGCCTGAGTGGGTGTAATGTGATTATCACACACACACACACACAGCAGGAATGCTGCTCAAGAGAAAGCCCGATAAGACGGACTGAAAGGCAAAAGGTAAAGACAAGTGGTTGACCGTGGTGCTGGTTAGGGTTTATAGCTGTGGAGACGACATCAGAAGACAAATGGGGCAAACACGATTTAGTCAGTTAAGTCAGGCCAAGGAAATTCCTGTGAGAAATCAGGTGAGTCCTGTTTGTCCAAAGTCCACTTTGAATACCAACGACAAGCCTTATTCAAGGTGCAATGACAAACCAGTCAAGTTTCTCTGTGATAAAGACGCCTATGACGGCGAGGGCGTGGCCTGGAAAGAGGCATTTCAGTGTTGGGTTCAGTCAAAAACAATGGGGCCTCTGTTTATTTAAAAAAAAAACGAAAAAAAAACGAATACAAATCAGTCACATCGCAAAGTCACTGCTGCTTCATAAATCCACTGAGTCAAGTCTTCTGACTCTGTTTAAAGGCACGCCATAACAAGATTGTGCAGTCTATGGAGAAGACACCCATCTGCCGGCCATGGGTCGGCGGAATGGAAAAAAACAATGAAAAAGGAAATAATGGGACAGGAGAGACGGAAAAGGAACCAAACTGGAACGCAGACACTGTTTGCTCAGGGTGTTATTGAAGGCCTGTTTGAGATAACAGGCCATCTCACAGCAATGACTAACCAGCAACTTTAAAGTGAGCGTGGTAACCCAATACTTGGGCATTCTTGTGTTCCTTTTGCAGTTTCTCTGAAATACTTGCTTCAGCTCCAAATTTCTAATCTCCACACGGAGACTCTGAGCACATGACACGTCAGTCCCACAGCATTCCTCCTCCATGGTGATTTTATCAGCAGATTTTTCTGCACACGGGAAGACCTGCATGCTTAAAGCACAACTTTTATTTATTTATCTTTTTTTACACTAGTTACCTCTTAATTTCAACCTAATTTGCCAAAAATATTCCTGATGACATTTTCTTTGCAGCAGGAAACCTTATCTAATCTTAGCCACCCATAGCGGGCCTTTACAAGAGTCAAGGTTCAATCAAAAGTTGGCTCAGAACAAATCTGGAATTTCTTCACCCACTGGGAATAACGGAAAATGTCAAACCTAGAAACAACTGCCACTGATGACATGTTCAATAGTAACTACATGTTCCATGGGTCTGGATCAAAAACGTCAACTGAGAGTGCAGCTGGGGGACTTTGTTGATGTCAGGATGAGGCCTGTGCAGACTCGAGAGCAAAATACAGTGTAAATAACCAACAGGCCATCAGAGCTGCGCATATTGGGTCATATCTGGGGAGCGTGCATGAATGAATGGAAATATCCAGTAATGGTTCTCTGATGGTCATATCAGGCAAACTGTCTAAATGTGTGACTGTGCGTGTAGCTTTTGCTAGCGGCTATACAATCTGGATGCGCCACAAAAAAAAAAAAAAAAAAAGAAAGAAAAAAAAAAGAAACGCACCATCGAGAACAGAGAGCGGCCCGTTAGCTTCGGCCGGCTCATCCCAAACTACCAAACCGGTGTTACATAATGGCTCCTATTTTCCAAGATGTGCTGCACAAACCTGGAAATAAGGACAGATTGTCCGCGAATCTAAAGGGGCAGTGGCTTAAATCTAACGCTAAAGCCGTTCCAAAACAGCACCAGACAAAATGGTCTTTGCACCAAATTCAGGGTGGGGCCATGAATGCAGCACGCGCACATGGGGGCGCTAGCTTCCTATATAAGGCGAGACCGCCCGAACGGCGTCCGTCACACAATGCACACGTTTATTTGATTTAGCGTTAAATGTTCAAAACCATTTAAAAGCTGTCCATTTCCTAATAGCAGTGGGGGTGGGGGGTTGGAGTGTCCAGAGCCTCTCTACGCAGGCGGCCTGCACCGAGCCGCGGTCAGTGTGGGAGCCGCGAACAGACAAAGAAGCAGGAAATCTCGGCTAACGGGCCATAATGGGTGCCTTCGCTAGCAGCTAGCCCGGCTAACAGCAGCTAACACCGGCTAACAGCAGCCCCGGGGCGCCGACGCACCTTACACCTCCGCCCCATTATGATGTAGAGCACCCGGCGGGGAGAAGTGGGGGAAGAAAAAAAAAAAAAAAAGGAAACATGATGCAAGGGGAACACTGAAGCAGCGTCATGGCAACGGGGTGGACGTTAGCTCAGACAGGGCCCCGTAAAGAGGAGGCTTTATGTCGGGCCGAACGGGGGAAAAGACGAGCCGAAATGGCGCCAGTTGTTTTGAAACGTTGGAGGCTTATCTACGCGGCGGCCACGATCCTGCCCAACGCTACTTTTCGGTAGCTGGTTCAATGCAAACATTACGGTGGGCGGATTCCGGTGGATCGTCACGGCAGAAGTAGCCGTCCCTGCTAGCCCGTAGCTCCGGGGCTAGCCGGGGCTGCTGCGGCACACAGCCGGCTGGCTGCGCGTGATGCTAAAACCGCCTCAAAACCGGCTAAACAAAACCACATTTTCCCAGACCTCCCTCGTAAGTTTTGATCTTACAACCACACGAAAGAGTCCAACCGGAGAGAGTCCTCTGAGAACCCACCAAACCAGAGTGAAACTCACCATTGCAGGAGCTCTGAGTAGGTCAGCGTCTGGTAGAAATTGAATGGACTGATGATGAATTGTCGCTCTCGCTCACATAAAAATACGCAGCGGGCACGCGCCTGAAAGCGCGAGCACGGCAAGTTGCACGAGCGGGAGCGCCCGCGTGTGCGCCCCCATCAACAGTCCGCCGGCTTTGTTTATTGTTTTTAATTTTCTAACGAATAAAAAAACGTTTATCGCTCCTAGGTAGCATTTAAGAGAGGATAATAAATACTGCCAGTTTAAACATTTAAATATGGATAGTTTTATATATACACATATATTATTTTTGCCATTATTGTCACTCAGCATCTCCTTAAATGGCAACTGTTGGAAACAATACATAAGTTCCCTCGAGTTTCAACCCCGCAATTCCCCCAATCTAATCTCTTATGACTTTTATTTGCACAGGGGTTGAGACGTGAATGAGAGAACAGATCAGACCAAACAATTGGCCATCGCAGAGAATTATGGGAGCGTGTTTATGAGGTATCAAAATCCCTGGAAATATGGAATGTATTTAACCTTAAGACACTATGTCTTCATAGGCACTTCTTTGATTGGTGATTGTTGACACTGAGAAGATTAGTTTTCGATCTTTTTAACGTGACATCGGATATAACCTGTGGGTACAGAGCTCTCACTGTGGTGGTAAATAATGGAATCCAAGTACCCTTTTTCCACGACGTGCTGTTCATCATTACATTTAAATTAGGTAAATTAGGTGGACATAGGTTGATAAGCAAAGGTTCTGACGGACTCTCAGCGGCCAGCCGGGGGCAGAGCGGGCTTTTCGGGGGGGGGGGGGGGGGGTTGTCCCTCGTCTCTCCCCTCCCCTTCGAGCCGTTTTTGTTGAACTCACTTCCAAATATGGAAGCGAACGGTGAACGGCGGCAGCCAGTGCACGCGCCTCGCTCCCGGCGGCGCGAGGGCCGGGCCGCGGCGCTCATCACCATATAAGGAAACAAGGGACACCAAATACGCTGGAGAAGGTTTTTTTGTGCAGCATCGCGCGATGGGGAGAGATAGAGACACCGCGAGGCCGGACGCACGAGGATGAGAATCACATATCCAGGGAGGAGGGGGAGGAGGAAGCGAGAAAGGGAAGATGAGGGATAAGAATGACTAATGAAACGTATATCGGGGTCGAGCTAAACGATATTGGAGGGGTTGCAGACACTTAACTGACACAAATTGATCACGAAGAATGGAAGTTAATATCGCAGATAAATTAAAAGGACACCTGCCACGTGTCAAAGATTCATAGCCATCATTGACACGAAAAAATAGAAAGATTAGAAAAAAAACACACACAAATCATTGAAAAGATATTACTGAAATGCCAACAAAGTAAATAAAAAATAACCAAAATTAACTATCCCCCCAAAAAGACGGTAAAAATAACTGCAGGGATTCAAAACCACCTAATTTGATTGCAAATGACAATAGAGAGGCACAGCAGCACACACACAATTAGCAAGATATTAAAACAAACAAAACACAAACAGGTAAAGTGATATAAAAGAGAAAGTGTGCAACTAAAACAGTGATAAAAAGTAAACAAAAAAGGAGGAAATGTGTAAAAAGGAACAGAAAGTTATATATTTCTTCAAAACATCGGTAACATACACAGCTGGAACCGACATACAACCACACATTGAATCAACGTTGTTTGCGGTTGTTTTGTCTTTAGTCTGTGTGTCAGTCCTCAGAGGGGCTGACTCATAAGTATGGATATATAAATACTGTATGCATCGCTGTATCACTGAACAATGTCCAACTAAACAGATATCAAGTATCAACAGCTGAACATTTGACCTGCTGGTGGTTTGAATCTGTGTCTTTTCAGTGTCTGGTTAAATTAAACTTCACTTGGATGGTAAAATTAAATATAATCTATTCTGATTAACTGTAATGCGTAACACTGTGGCAGCATGATTACCTAAAATAAGAAACTAAATCTAATCCAAGCTGTGTTTTTTCCACGTCTGTTAGCTGCTGAATGCCTGCAGATCTGGAGTCAGTTTGTAAAAGAAAAAAATGGATGGATGCGTTAACAGTTTCAAGCTCTGTTTATTCTTTATACAACAGCATTACTCTACTCAATTCCTCCAACCCCATCAATAGAGATGATTACATTGGCTGTTACCAAAGCATGTATTTTTTCACTTTTGGAATGAGCTGTGTGCAAAAAGCACCAAAGAGGAGGGAAAGTGCAATAGCAACTGCTTGTACAACGACCTCCATATAATAAAAAGAATGGCAAAGTGCATCATGATGGTCAAAAATCTTTGTTGCTTCTCTAATCAAGTTTGGCCCAGCTTCCTTAAGTCCTGCATTTAGAGCAATGATATGAGAACAAGGTGAGATTAAAGCCTTACTACCGACCCCTGTGTGTTTTCACCCTGCTCTCAAAACAAGATGGTAAGATGCTGCCGTTCAGGCTTTTACTTACATTTTCATCTCTCCATTAAAAAAAATCACCAAAAAATAACAAATCTAAACAAAAACATTACGTTATAGCAATTGCGAGATGTAGGTCAGTGTCATTAATAATCAGCCTTTAATTCAAAACCTAATTTATTCTGCGTTTGCCTGAGATGCTGCTCGGCTCCACAAAGAAAAAGCTTATAAATCCACCCGGTAAAGAATAAAATAAAGAAGAAAAAGAGGCCGATTGGTCAACCGACTGCTGGTTTGTCATCACAAACAAGTCTACCCAAATTTATGTCCGTTTCTTTTTTTTCTGTGGTATGGTTTATGTCCACGGCAGTTATGAAGCAAAGCCCTATATCAAGCTAAAGACTGTACGATGAACTACATTTATCAAATATTAAGAAATATGATGGGGAGACCACTGAAGTATCCCCTTTTGTATCAAACAGCTCACCATTTCAAACTATTTAAGATATTCAGTAATTCATTTAAGTAACAGTTATTTAAGTAAAAGTGACTGTCTGTAAATGGTACGGATAACTCAGACTAACTCATTAATGACTATATATGTAACAGTAAAAGGTATAAGAAGAAGCATGGCTGCATGTGACAGATTTCTGTCCAGATTTAAATTTGATCGGAGCAATTAAATCTCATTAATTAAGTCTCATTTAGTGCTGTTTTTTTTCCTGTATTTTAGTCTGAACGTCATGCTTGTGTTTTTTTTAAAACTGTATTCATCACATGTTCTCACTGTGTTGTTTACCATAACGTTATCAACCTTTTTCAGTCTGTCTTCTGATTAGTTAGTGGACACTATTTCAGAATACATGTATTTGAAGGGATATGACTATTGGTAAACTCTTTGGCTGAATCCTTGTTATTTTTTGTTTTCCGCTCAAGTCTTTTAAGTTTTCCAATTGAGTTTGAACTTTTCTAAAAATCTATGTTGCACTACTTTACATGTTACTTCTAGACCTTGTGCATTATTTAGTGCTTTTAAAGTGTAACATGTTTCCATCAAAGAAGAAAAATGTAGAAAACTTATTTCAACTGAAGAACGACACGGCTTGGGAAGTTGAAAGTGCAGATTTTTCTTTTCCTCAGCAAGCACAGATGTCTGGCTTCCAGAAAATGCTACTTTTATATAAAACATAAAGACAAAATCTACAGGCGGAATGGAATGTTTCAAGGCCAGAGAGTAAATAGATAGAGCCACGGAAACCCGTATAAACTTTAAAGCTGCATTTGAAAGAATCTGAAGGTAAAGAGTGGAGGCTTTGGAAAGCCTTCCCGACTCGCATATCTCAACGAGATTCAGCTGAAACTGAAATAGAATATATAAGTGTTTTTTTAAGCTTAAAGGTAAACATTGGCTTGTACATTTAGAGAAGTTGTAAACTTGTCACCTAAGTGCAGTGTCTGCTGCAGGCATGAACTATAAGTACGAAAAGTTTGGGTGTTTAAGCTCAAGCCTCTCGGCTGTGTAATCGGCATAACAATAGAGATGCTGGTGTATTTGCTCTGTGCTGTTACCAAGTGCCAGTGTGGCTGATGGATGATAAGGCTTTAGTGCTAAATGTGTGCTTGTGTGCTGTTCGCTCTGAATTAGGATCACGTGGGTCCGGAGGTCTTCTAACTGGATTTCTTCTGGTCACTGGTGCTCGTTCCTCTTGACTTGTTCAGCACCACAGTGGCCTGAAAACAGGGAGAATGATAGAGTCGGTTTATTTGGCAAAGGCTTGTTATTCAACCTTCGCTGACATCGGTTCCCCTGCACTGTGGTTCGATTAGGGATTATATTTCTGACTGCTAGCGAAAAAGTGTTTGGTCCCCTTAAAGCTGTTCTTTTGAACTGCATTTTAATAGCTAATTGCTAAACTGAATTAGCTTATATATTTAACTGATGTCTGTGCGATCAAATCGGCACTGGCTTTCAAACAACCACAATGACAAATCAGGAAAAGTGGTTGCAAACAGTCGAGTGGTTTACACAACCTGTAACCTCATTAACCACAAAAAAGAGGCTGATCACAGAAGCTGTGAACCGCAGTGCTCAGTGAACTCTGACAAGAGTCCTCCACCGAGAGCTGAACAACGTCTGGGAGCTTCCCTCCTCCTAAATGATCAATCAGACTTTCAGACCTCTGTGTCACTATGTTAACTGTACGACACAGGAAAAGGATGTCCTCCAAGATAACTAAAAAACATAAAAATAGTACCTAGTTCTTTGGGAGAATTTTCAGCTTAATGTACACTTTATGTTTTGCTACATCATTGCCACTTTGTGCCTTTTTGAGGGTCTAAACATAAATAAGGCGGCAGAGTTTGACTGCCAACCAATTCATACAGTTTCATTTAAAGCAGCTTTGTGATTGCTGCCCCATTTCCTGTCAAAACTAAGACTTCAGGTTCAGTCTTTTACACCAGGGGTCCCAAGTCCCTTGACTCCAGTCTAAATCTGGACCCTGAAAGGGTTTTGTTTACACTGCAAAGTATTTTCTAATTTACTGTGTAGCTGGATTTAGACTTTCCCTCCCCGCCGGCCAGTGTCGGTGTCAGACTTTTGAACAGGCACGACGGACAGCTCTGCGGGTCGGCCACATCCTGGGGGGGTCCTTTAACGCAGGTTGTTGCTAAGTTACAGGCTTGGAAGCTAACCTACAGACAGCTGGTGGTATAACGACTGGGTGGTTTCTAAGAGCGACACAGTGAGTAAAAGAAGATGGCTTTATGAAAAATACGCAAGGGAAACTATGAAAAAAGCTTATTATATTTGTTCAATAGCTTAAAACAAAAAGTTGACATTTAAATGTTGATGAAAAATGTGAATGTGTTTTGATGGTTGACTAAAAATGTTAAGACCCCAGTTTATTTGGATCATGGAGGTAGTGGACCTCTTGCTATTTTAGTTAGGCTACCTTCTTTTAAATCAACAATATACACCATATACCACCATATCTACATACAGGGATGTAGATATGTCATTTTGCATGAATTTTCCTGTCTAAGATTCCTGAGTTCTGTAGTCTCACCAAAATTTTTTTCACAATGAATTGTTGTGTTCAATCCTTCCTAAAAGAAATATCTAGCATTTGTCTCTTTATTTGGTTTTCTTTTTTTTCTTTCTCATAGTCTAATCTCACTGCAACTAAGGGGGATCATTTAAGATCCATCATATCTCAAAAGGTGAATTGTAATAATTCCTCCCAGCCGTGATTACAGCAAGTTTTGTTTTGCTCTCTGTAACCTGTTTGTCTTGAATGACCATTTTAAAGCTGACATCCTTGATTAACAACGGCAGTTAACAACTGCCATTGTTAATCATCCTCTCTGACGTTGGTTTTCAGGTCTGTGCGGAACTTGCTTTGTAGAAAAAAATACTGCCTTATTTTAGGGGCCGCACCTACACTGCTGGCAATGTCGACAGACAGGAGATGTGTGCTGGATCCCAACAATTCAAATAACCTGCCTTTATGTATTATGAATGCTAATAGGCAAGACAAATCCACAAATAGTATTCATGATCTAAAAATGGTTTTGCTAGCACTCAACTTGTGGTTACCAAGCGCAGCTAATGGTTTCATATTTACAGGTTATTTACCCCCCCCCCCCATTTTAAACTGCTCCCTCTAGTGGCTGTAACAGTGCATTAATGGGCCCTGCTTTGGCCTTACCTGCTCCAGGACAACGCCTGCGGCCTGGTCGATGGCTCCGCCGACAGTCCGGTACCGGCCAGAGTAGCGAATGAAGGCCCATATCAGCATGGACATCATGACCACGCCCAGAGAGCAGTCGCACACCAAGGCGAAGGTGGACAGGCCGGTAAAGAGCAGAACGCCTGACAGAACGTAGAGAAAGCAGACCAGGACAAACAGCACGGCGGGTGTCCGGAAGGCGCTGAAGAGGTTTTTAGACTTTAAGGGAAAAAAAAAAAAACAAAGACAGAGGGACAGAATAATCTTCAAACATTCAAAGTATCTTCTGAGACCAAAACACAATCATGAAAAGTACTTTGTAAAATCTCTCTGGAATGCCTGCTTTTCCTTTGCTGATAAATGTTTTAGATGAAAATTCACTTAAACATAACGGAGAGTTCAAAGTGTGAAAAATAAATGCGAGGAAGGTGTTGGGGAAGAATCTTTAAGTTAAACCAACATCTAAAGTAACACAGGTGTTTTGACGGAATCCAAAGTTAAAATGAAGCAGAATCAAACCAACACACCTCGTTGTGCTTGGTGAAGGACTCCCACATTTCCTCCAGCTCACTTTCCAGCTGTGCTTGGTAGCGGTCACAAAACTCTTGCCCGCCCATCTTCTTGGTGGAGGAAAAGCAGTGGAGAGCCTCTCTATAGAAAAACTGGTGCTTCTCCTCCAGTGACTGGGGGGCCACATAGGGCAGGTCTCCCCCACACATCTACGGAAACAAACAGGAATAACTGTTTAATACCAGCCAGTACACACGTTTACGCCTACGATGTTTCCAGCTATAGAGTAGACAGGGTAAAGATATGTAGGTAATGTGGATTAACCAGCCAACCTTCTCCATGTTCTTGTAATACTGGTCTTTAGCTGTTGCCACGGCTGCCAGGTTGTTGGCCTCTGCTGTAGCCTGGTGAATCGAGCACATACGTCGGGTTAGAAAACTACCATGTACCACATCTGAGAAAACCTAAAAGCCACACATACCATCAGCATGGTCTTGGGCTGTGGCAAGTCTTCTCCTTGGTAAATCTTGATGTACGCCTAGTGACATACAAATCACAAGAGGAGGAATGATGGGCTGACCCAGGATTAACCAGGGCTGATCACACAAGGTCCATTCTACCTTGAAGAACTCCAGCAGGCCTCTGCAGGTGACTTTGTTGCCATTGATCTCTTTCTCAGCCAGGCGGTCCGGATGCAGAAGTTTAGGGATGAGACTCTGCAGCTGCTCTTTGAACTCCGCAGCCACGTCTGACACGAGAAACGCAGCAAACACTCAGCAGTGCACTCCGCATATCCAGCTCAATGTTATCTGGAAACAAGCTGGAACAGGACGACGACTTGGGGGAGCATACCACAAAGCTGTCCCTTAAACGCAGGGCTGGTGGCAACCTTCAGCCCCGGGTGGGGCAACAGGAAGCAGGAAATCTTGTTGAAGCAGGAATGGATGTGCTCCCGGACCGTTTGCAGCTCCTCATGCTGGGCTTCCTTAACCTTCAACAACAAACAGACAAATAAATAAGGAGAAAACTCAGCGACGTGCAGTTTAATAAGTAAAACTTTCCAAGACGATTGAAATAAACAGGCACCTGTAACCGTTTATCCAAAAAGTCGCTGCCACCTTTAAATCCATAGGGATACTCGTAAGGAAAGCTCCAGTCCCTCACCAAAAACATCAACGACTGCAAGAGAACAGCTTTATATAACTGATCAACACAAACATGTGCAAACTTAATACACACTAAAAAATAGGGGCACAACAGGATGCCCTCCTGAGGTACTTTCTAACCTATACGACTAAAAACTGGAGAACAAGGCACATATTTGTACTTTTAGAGGCCCTGAAAGGTACAATTATGTTCCCAAGGGGAATGTAGGCAAACTACAGGGGCACAACGACAGAACCTTTGGCTACTGTCTGAGTGATGAGTCTGTGGACACCTAACAGTGCAACAACATCTCATGAAATCCAGTACCTGAAATGGTTTCAGAAAGATCTCATCCAGAGCCAGACGACCATACTCTGTGAACAGCTAAAAACAGAAGAAAGAGTTTCAAAATAATCATCAGTAGTTGTTCCGTTTGAAAACCTAAAGGGGTTAAACAAAACACAGGTTTGCTGAGCACTGGAGGACAAGGCAGACTTACAGTTAATGGGCACAATTCAATATGGTTTATTGTAACATCTCATATCATCTGAGTAAGTGCAACATGACGGTATGTGCTGAGGCTGAAAACACTCCCGAAAAGCACATCTGGCCTTTTTTCAATTTTTTTGTATAAAGACGAACGGACCTGCAGCTGCTGCAGATCATCCTCCTGAATGTTCTGGGAGAGATTGTAGATCTGCAAAAGAGGAACTTTATAAGCCCACATGAGAATAATGGAATGAAACATTGAGGGTGGAGACGGCCAGAGATCGGTCACCTGGACTGAGCTGGTCATGGTACTAAGAGCAAAAATGGTGGCACAGTCCCTCACGGTGGACTGGTCATCGAAGGCTCCCTGAGTGTCCATCAACACCACGGCCACCTAAAAGCAGCAGAGACGAGAAGTCTGTTTTGAAAATGTGGGCAAACTGTGTTTATTCTAAACACATAAAACTATTCATTTATGGTGGAACTTGATGCTGCAGACTGAAACATGTAAACCTTCTAAGAGGAGCAAACGCCCTGCTGTTATTCGTCACATAATTCAGGTCTCATTTAAAAAAAAAAAAAGTCTCCCAAAAAAATTGTAAACGTTGCAGGTAGATCTAAGAACTAAATTTGTGGCTCTGAGTAACAGAGATGTCCTAGGTCAGAACATTGATAGTTACTCTTTTTAAAAGAACGACTGAGTGCAAAAATGGATTTAGTCAGTAGAAAATTTGTATGTAGAATACTCCGGTCCAGCCAAAAAAAACAACAACCTCCTGACGTAGTCACATGGCAAACGTTTGCAAACCGACAAGAATATGCAAATGGATCTTTTGCACTGGACTCTCCGGCATGGCAGTGTGAGACGATGTAGGAATAAACCAGCAAACGCTCCAGATGGTGTTCTGCCTGTGCAGATCCTATGCTGCTTTGCACACCCTCCTCCATCCGTGGAGGTGATTTTGTAGCAAAACCACTAAGCACTTGTGACAGATAATTGATTTCTTGTGCCTAAAAGTCACAAATGTATCACAAAATCCAGAATCTCAGAAAGATTTTCCGCACTTTAAAAACAACACAAAAGTTACAAATACACACTGGGCAGTTACAAGGGACCTGTGTAAGAACCAAAATCAATGTGTGCAGTGGTAACACAGCATGGAAAAAAGCGAATGATGCAATTTTATATTTGGCAATAGGCTACAGAAATTATTCCATTCCAATCAGCTATTCTCAATGTGTTAGAGATAAAGCAGCCATTTTACAGGCTAATTTCGGCATCAGCTCCGGCTTTCCTTTTGTGATGTCCACACACATTATGGGCCCTCATTTCTTCAGCATGATGACTCCAGCTTTGAAATCCATGTAAAACAACAACTGGACTAAAGTTCTGGGGGGAAAAAAACACTGCCCTTTCTCCTGAAAATCTCCAGAGTCCATTGTGAAAGGCACATGAAATTATCATTGCCTCTTATTTCTGAAAAATATTCCCAGGTCATACTTTTGGCGCCATCGTTGGTCAACAGGAGGTTGAATTAGTTATAAGTACTTTCAGGTTTAAGAGGCTTTCAGTCACAATCAGTTAAGTGTACATTAAGACATTAAGACATTTATGTGTCAAAATGAGAATTGATGGGAAAGAATAGGATTTTTAGCCAGTATCTGCTTTGGAGTACCTCTGTCCCGTCGCTCTTTTGCACGAGGAAAACTTCGCTCCACAGCTGGATGCCAGTTGTCTCTGGTTCTGACCCACCTCTCCAAGAAAATCCGGTCAGCGGCTCATCATCCTTACCCAGCCAGTCCTCTTTGCCCTGCAGAAACAAATCTGATGCTGTAAACACCAAACACCTGAGAATATTGATGTACATTCAGAAATCATGTAAACACAAACAAGTAGTTTCCAGCACATATTCCTACAAGAAACATCAACTCGAGTCTCAATTCAGAAAACAAGTTTGTTCACATGATAAAGCAGGGATGGGCGTTAATGATGGACAACTATTTGGGTTTTCATTCCACCCTCACACCTTTTGTGATTTTCCAGCCTTTCACATCTTTATCTGAAGAGGAAGAAGCCACAGTCTCCAAGTTTCTCTACTATGACCAGGTATCCAATGAACTGTGTGAAGTGATCGTAAACACTGACAAAGCATGCGATTGAACATTTAAAGAGCGACACTCACCTTTCTGTACATGTAACGGATCATGAAATCCAGCATGAAGCTTTTCCCTTTCCTAAAAGCTCCAGCCACCGACAGCACCACCACATGTTTGTCTCGGACTTGCGGGGCTAAGAGAATCCGAGCCAAAGCCTCTGTGTCCAACGTGAACGAGTGGTCCTCCTTACAGACCGTGACAATCTGAACTGGGCCCGGTTCACTTCCCATTCTGCTGAGCTACTGGTCCCTGTGAGGATCAAAGGAGAAAACAGAAGGCAGGAACTAGTTTAACCAACAGCTGCTTCTTATGATCGTTTTCACCTGACTGTTGAGTTGGGAATGTTTGAATCAGACTATGAATCGATGTTGAGAACTCACATGGGTGTTGTTTCTTTTCAGATACTGCAGCAACATGAAGTAACTTCTCTTTACTTACCAGTTAAACAGCCCCATAATAGTTTGGTGTTATGTACCAGAAACTGTCATAATTGCAAGACTTAAAAAACTGATGCAATTGTGTTTATGTTAGGACACTAATATAAAAAACACAATTCTTCAACAATGTGGCTTATCAAGTCTATTTCTTTCCAATACACAAACTCATATAACACAAAAAATGTGTTATATACGCACAACTTTGCCAGTGAAAAAATAATAAATAAGCCGAGCTGTAATCCATGCATCAGAAACAATGTTAAGCTCTGTGGGGCTCGTGAGGGCAGCTCTTATGGCTGTCATGCTGCTCTGCCCGCAGCTCGTGGGCTCAGCGCGCGCTCCGCAGCTCGGTTCCGCGCAGCTGCCTCAAAGGCTCGCTTTGTTGGCGATTTTCGGGCTAGATTTGGAGGTGCTCCAACAATAATGGATTGACGCCTTATATCGTGTACTCGTTCCCTGCCTCAACCAAAACTTGAACACCGCCAAGGTGTGGCGTTCAGGAGCAGCATGCCTGCCATTTCTGTGACGTGAACGTGCTAAAAAAAACGTGTTCAAACAAAAAGGAAAAACAAAAAAAACACCCAGCAGCAGGGACAAATACACCACATTCTTTCTGTACACTTCAGAGCTTGTGTTGAGTGAGTTAAACTTTCTATTAAAAACAATAGCGCAACATGTTCGCTAAATGTTTTTACGGCGGTAAATTTAAGCTGTAAAATTCGTTGGCGTGAACGTGGATGTCATATAACATTTATGACAGCACGTTTTCAAACCAAAACAAAAGGCTAACGTGTGGCTGTCAAGGGAGACGGGAGTTGATAAAGCAACAAACGTAGCAGCATCGTGGGAAGTAAAAAAAAAACAGCCTTTTAAAAGCTAATCTATTTTCGTTTGCTGATGTTTAATACTGCAACATTACCTTTGGTGTCTTCGGGCGACTTCAACTGAGTCTCATGAGAGTCGAGAAACGACTAACTTTTCACACGGGGACGAATACCACCATGAAAACTTTTTTCCACCACGACATTCACACACTTCCGCCTTCAGTCTGCGCATGGAAGCATTGGAATTGAAGTTTTAGCGTGTTTTGAAGCCCGTACCAGGGCGAGTCAGAAAACTACATGCCCCTAACTACAAACAGTCAACGTCAATGAGGGAAATGTAGTTTTTAACGGAATGTGACGAATACGGAAATACCCCAAGACGCTATGTAAAACAGGCTGGTGGGTTTTGCTTACATACAAATTATACCTGAAAGAAGTCCTCGGATACAACGACGACTGTATCATAGCAACAGGGCAGCATATTGGTAGAAGTACGCAGCGAGCACAGTTAGCTAGCGGCTTAGCGCCCTCCAGTGGCGTTACTCAAGCAGGACAGGATGTATTTAAAATATTTGGATAATATTTTAAAACCGATAAGAAAAACAGGGTCTCAAAACAAAAGAAAGATTTTAATTCACAAGGAAAGCTTAGACATTTTAATGAATTTGAAAACAAAATCGAAAGCGTTTGAAAGTAAATACAATTTTCCAAACAGAAGTTCAGTTTACCCTGCAATACAAAGGGCTTTAAATGGCAGTGTGTTAATCACAATTAAAATAAAAAGAATCGTGATTAAAGAGATCCTAATTTAGTTCATAGTCAGGGTTTCAGCTCCAAAAAGAAGACAGTCGAATGAGGGATTTCGAAACATAAACTAGCATCGTGTACATAAAAATATACTTAGAAAAACATAATGTGAAGAATGATAAATATAAAGAAACAGAAAATTATTAAGAATAAAATAAAAAGACTATTTGAAATAAAACTGGAAGTGATTTGTTACTGTTTTTGACAATTGCTCACACAAACCTTGAAAGAACAATCTACAACTGTAACTACATAATAAATTAAACATCTGTGAACTACTCAACAATGATCAAGACCGACAGCTCTTCAGAATCATCCACAGAAATGGACGTATATAATGATGAACTGTGGAAGATTAGTAACACATTTAAATAAAAATGGTAACAGTTTGGATGTGAGACACTGTGTTGGTTAGCTTGTGCAGGTTTCAGTGGTTCATTTCAACAAACCTCAACTCGGAAATCGTGATTGAAAAACAAGTCCCCCCGACCCCTGAGAATGAGCTCAAAATGTTAGGAAATCACAGTGGATACTGTAAAAACCATCTGTGTTAATACTCTCACTTCGGTTTTTTTCCACGTCTGGCTGACGTTGTTCAGCTTGTGCATTGGAAGTGCCTGAATACATGCTCAGTTAGTCCATTGATCTATACTGCTATCGAAAACACAGTCGGTAAGGCAGTGTGAACATCTCTGGGAGATTTGTTTGAATAGGTTTGCTAACAGGTGGATGTGAACTAGTATCCACCACCTGCCAGGTCCAACAGGGACCCGGCGGCCTCCTGGGCCTCGGCGTCCAGCTGAAGGATCTCCACAGTCTCCAGGTCCAGCTCGGTGTCGCCTGGCAGCACCAGGTACTGGTACTGGTTAGACTGGTAATAATGTAACTCGATGTAGCCGCTGTCAGAGAGGGGGTCCTTCTCCATATCATCGCTCACATCCTCTTGCTGGTATTCAACTGACTCCATGGTGACTAGTTCCTCGTGATCCGGGGTCAAAGGGCAGGGCGGGTTGTCAGTGAAAGGGGGGTTATCAGCTGTCAGTATTTGTTGTGTGGACATGGAGAGCAGCAGGGTATTGGAAAGGGGTTCTGCGTGAGGAGGGAAAGAGTATGAAAAAAGGAAAGACCAAATGAATGACCATAATTGACATCAAGGAGTGGTTTCCACACTGGCTTATTGAACTAGCTCTGGTCGGGTTCTTCAGCAACCACTGACGCCAGTCGAGGGGACTTATGACGGAGACTACGAGGGGCTATTCCCCGGCTGCCAAGGTAACGGAAGGGCAGTTTCTATGCCGACAGAACACAAACACAAGAACAATGTGACATGCTGAGAAAGCCACGGCGTGGGAGAAAAGCTGCAGGTAATAAAAGTTTCACAGGGATCTGCTGCGCCTCTGACGGAGGCTGAGACATATTCACACAGGGTCAAATATTCCGATTCTCCCGCTAATGAAGAAACAGCAGCCTGGTCTGGGCACTGACCTGAGATTTCCATTGTGTCGCACACTGCAGGCACCTCGTAGTCAGCTCCCTCCAGCCTGTGTGTAACACGACAAGTTAGACGACCACTGGATGTGCTGTATCTTACTTAATTCTTTCAATGTATGTGAAATTACTCAGAAACTCATCAGTTCTTATAGGGGAATACAAATGAAATAATACAATATTCACACCGTGACTGCAACAATAGTTCACCTGCATGATGAGCGAAAGCTTTATTTATTTTTAACCCTGAAACTCTAATTTAACTTCTGTCTGTTTTTGCCTTAGTTGATTAATTTGTTTCTAATTCCTACTGTACTTATTTTTAAGTAGTAACTGTCTGGCGCAGCCTTAATAGACACAGCAAATGTCTCTTTTCACTCACAGTGCAGGCTTGTGTATCAGATTGCTGTTTGTGCTGTGATAACTGTGCGTCTTCTTCAGCACCTCCAGGAGCGCCGGCCGATACTCCGGACACACACACCACAGCGATCCTTTCCCCACTGACTGCAACGAACGCACAAATCCTCTGGTTACTCACAAACCGCACGACTAACCGGCCTCACCTCGGGGAGCTGTGCGGTAAATGTTCTTCATGACAAAAGAACATCTGGATACAGTGTTTTACTTACAGCTTAGATTGCGAGTGGACCCACCTGGCTCTTGTCCCGCTGAATGCGCCGGAAGCTTTTGCTCAGGGACAAGTTGTGTCTCACCGAGTTCCTCCAGCCTCCGGCGGCAGTCCTGTAGTAGGGGAAATTGTTCACGATCCATTCATAGATATCCTTCACCGGAAGCCTCTTGTGTGGAGAGTCCTCTATGGCCATGAAAATCAGGCTGCTGAAGGAGTAGGGCGGTTTGGACGAGGCGTGCGGAGGACGAGGCTGGACAGGCGGGCAGGACTCCTGCTGGGGCAGTGGCGGGAGTCTGCTGAGGGGCTGCAGAGGGAGCAGGTTCCCCCTCTGATGCAGCCAGCTGAGACAGGTCAGGTCATCCTGGTCAGAATAGCTGTCCTGCTTGAAGCACTGCGGGATTTCTCCTTCGAGGCAATGAGAGGCAGAGCAATGCGACAGAGGGGAGGACGTGTGAGCATAGTCAGCTGTTGCTGGAGAGAGGGAGGTAGGGGACGGGGGGAAGGAGATGGGGGAGAGGGGAAGAGAAACACTGCCGTTTAGGCAGATCTGCTGGGATGAGAACGGCAGAGACTCCTCAAGAACTGGGGAACACGAGGAGGATGGCAGTACGTGAGAGATGTTCTCCATCACTGAAGAGGCAACTTCCAGAGTCATTCAGTTGGATCGCTTGTGAGAGATAAAACAGAATTAAATTAGGATTATAGTTAAAAGAATAGATGTTCAGCCAAATATTTATGAAGTCAGACAGACATCCAAAATCCAGACATAAGGACAAAACAGAGTTGATATCGTTTAAGTTATACAGTATGATTTCATGCTGTCATGGAAAAAAGAAAGCACAGTCTGTTGTTATTCTGTGCATTTATGTTAATATATTTGGGAATAAATAAATAAATAAATAATTCAGAATTCTGACTAGGCCAGTGTCTGTTCTCACTGAGACTCACACTCGATAACAATCAATTAAAAAGGTCCATTCAATTATCAGTCTGACTAATTACTTAATTAATTCCCATGAAAGCAATAGGTTCCTATTTTAACGCACTGCTTCAGCACTTTTGTTTAATAATTGTTTAATAATTTTAATCAATAATTTGTTCAATAAATCATGTTGTTTGTCTTGTTTTTTCCTTCTGAGGTTGTATTCACATGTATCATGTTAAGAGCTAATAAAGACTCGGTTATTGTTACCAAGGCCTTGGATTTGAAAGATTTCTATTCAACGTTGCTGTATCTATTTATTTTTTAATCCTACAACAGATTTTTTAACCAACTTTTGAAACAAAAAACATCAACAATGATATGTGGGGTTATAGTCCAATGGGGAAAATACCCCCTCCCTCAAAAAAAGAATAAAGAAACACAGCAGCCTCATTTAGTTACACGTTTGCTCGTCGTTCTCGTCTGATGGGCATCCACTGTTCAAAGTCCGCTCTCTCATTTCCTCCCCTGCTCTAATGAAGGCAGACCTGCTCAGTGAACAGGTGCACGCGGCTGAGGGTCCTTCAAGGGGACGTGACACCCATTTCAGCTTTTAGCAAACTCCATTTCTCGTCAGTAAGGCCACATTCACAAGGCTCTGTAAGCTCATCTGGCCACATGGCTATACAAAGCCCTTCAGCAGGGAAATGGCGGAACAATATAAAGTTTCATTTAGCTATTCAGGAAAGCAGACCCCCCCCCCCCCCCCCCCCCCCCCCCCAGGTACCCCCCCCCCCCCTGGCGCCCTTTGAAACCCCCCACTTTAGTCAGGTTACTCACCAGATTAACCAGAGTGGTGGCTCAGACATAGACCGGCTCTCTGAAAATGCCGGGGACACGTCGGGGGTCGTTAAAAGGCTAAAATACTGATGTCCAGAAGCAGAGTCTCGAGCGGACACCTCTGCCTCGGCGCTCTGTTGCTGCCCGCGGTTTCCCTGGAAACCAAAAGGACGCTCGGCGGGGAGCGCGCGCCCGTGTGCACTCCCGCGCCATTCAGCAGACGGGACGACAGAGGATGGCTGAATACCACAGTAAACCACCAGTGGCTAAAAGAGGGGGCTAACATCAGGAGTGGGGAAAGACAAGTAGGACAACCCGTGAAGGGGGGTGTTCTGAAACTACAAAATGTTGTAATACTAAAGGAAAAGTAAGAGTAGACCAAGAGATATACACACATTGGCTTGAGTCATTGTCGACAGTACCATTGAAATTACATTACTGCTAAAACCAATGCAGAAAGAATTGAAAACTCAAGTAGAGCAATGTATTATCATATCAAAAGTTGGCACTTAAAAGGAATAAGGAATAATGCCTAAAGTATTTTAGATTTACTGTAGAGTTAACTTTGGTTTAAGCATGTTTTCGGGCAGCGTGACGGGCAGTTTGTGTGGTTGTTTCGCAGTAACCCTTCCCGTTTGGAGTTGGCATGTTGTTCACATTCAGAATAGTTTCCCGCTTCTGGACTGTGATTGACTGGCAACCTCTACAGTGTGTCCCCTGCCAGGGCATCATGAGAGTCACTCCAGACTTACATTGTGCCAGTATATTAGATTATTGGATGTCATATAGTAAGAAGCTTCCTCTATGCGTTTCAGATTAAAAATGCCAATTTCTTCAAATACAAAAAATGTAGGAAATAATTGTACACAAAGCGAAGATGAGCTCACTCGTTTAAACATGAATACACAAAGCTAAATATATTTATTTTTTCTACAAAAATCCAAACATTGTCATGCTTTGTCAAATGTAGATAAATAACAGACTTACTGACTGAAAATAGAAAGGGGATTAATGCAGCATCATCATCATCAATAACTGAGAAATGATACTGTAATTGTGAGTGTCATGTGGATTTGTGTCTGTAAGTGAGTAGTGGAAACCATGTCCAGAGACATTACACAAAATGAAACCCACACAAAATCAGCTCTGATTAAACAGCTCTGTCATCGAAAGCCCTTGTGTTTAAAAGTTAGGCGGACAAAAATATGCATTATGTACGTTACTATACAGTCATGGTGAGCAGCAACACATTCTGTGTTACATCAACTAAAAGATATTAACAGAAAAGCTCAACACTGTCTACGTTTGCCTTGATTTTACAGACACAAGTGTACAAAGACAAGTGCAAAAACACTTAACAACCCTATCTTTCTGGGTCCAGGTCACTCGGACTTGAGGTTTTAAATGCGTCGCAGTCACCTGACCAAGTGAGAGGTTAACCAGTAAATAATAATTGGCTGAAAGACTGCAGTTGCCACGGTGATATAAAGGCGGAGCTGAGGTTTGGCACTTGAACCCATTCCCATGGAGTCCGAGGAGATCGAGGGCAATATCTTCATTTTAAGAGATCGAACCTGTGGAAAAAGCAGATATTTAGAGCTGCCATGCGAAGAAACGTGAATCTGGAGCATAAAGGTAGAAGGCAAGGAACTCCGTTTAAAAGCAAAAAAACTTGTTTTTTTACAAAGTGGTTCTACGCCAAACTATGCCCAAGGACCAATAACCTCCTGAGACTGTGGTTTGTGACTTCATGGTGGCTGCGTCCCCTTTTCCTGCCACCCTCTCACATGCACAGAAACTGAGCTTTCAGACACAGAGGAAAACTTTTGCAAAGACTGGTTTGATTTCATTGCAATTCCAAGATGACACAAAGACATCAAAAGGCTTTGAAAGGATTATGCGACTGGTTTTGACAAGAAAATACATTTAGTTTTTCAAAACCTAACATTTACATAGATAGCAACATGAATGAACGTTTTACTAATACATCTCTACTGACGACTTGTTGCTATGACAATTTTGAAATGCTTTACCTAAAATTGGAACTGACCGCCAGGTCACCATGCCACTCTTTCTAAGTTATTTAAAGGCTTGAGCTCCCTCAAACCAAAGTGCAATTAGATTTCTGATTTACCAGGACCAAAAGGAACATTAGTCATTATTTGGACAATCAGGAATATCTTTAGTGATGTCAAAATGCAAGTGCAAACCATCATTTTTATTTTGCTATGGGATAAACAAAGTGTCTTTTTATTTGAACTTAATTGAATAGTTCACATTCTTCTATAATGTGCACACAAGGACTCTTAAAACTCATGTGACAAGAAAAAAACCAGACTCAGTAAATGTCCATTGTCTAAAAAACAACAACATATTTTTACATCTTTCTATTATCTTACAGTGTTTAAACTTTGCTTCTTTTTATGATAAGTGAACATGATTGACAATGTCAACGGACTGAAGATACTTACAATGAAGAACATAAGGGCGCATGAGGACCAGGCGAGGGCCACATAGTAACCATCGCTGCCAAACAGTAAGCCACACAACACCGTGAATATCATCCTAAAGAGAGACACAAACACTGCATTGGAACATGGCCTCACTCACCAAATTCAAGCACTGAGTTGAAAAGAGGACAACACTTCTGGACATCTTACCCAACATATTTATATCCACTGTAGGCGACCAGATCAAAGGTCGACAGGTCGCTGTGTACCGTCAGCAGGTACAAACTCAACAACATGACCAAGACCTCGATGATGACCCACACAAGGGCGGTGCTGGCACACAGGCCCAGGACCTCTGGACTGAACCTTCACAAAGACAACACAAACCCACACACCTCAGTGTTTAACTCACAACACACATCATTAAAATTAAAAATAAAAATCACCTTTTCTGGATACCAAGAGCCATTCCAGCGAGTAAAATGTAAGTAATGAAAGCCATTGCTGAAAGATAAAAAAATATTTATAAATACCTAATGAAAAAAGGCATCTCCAAAGCACTTGAGAATGAGAGATTTTTCAAGAAAACTTGCATGGTATGTAAAGATCAGGCGCATTCACATCCTGTCTTGGAGTCAGTGGAGTGTCCCGGTGGTAACGGACTTCCCAGTCCTGAGGACACGCAAATACAACGTGAATTGAAGGCTGACAGATGGGAGTCATTCATTTTAACAACTGCTAACAGATTGTAATGTTTTTTTTGACAGCTGCAAAGCTTTTTAAAACATTTTCCAAGAGTGTATTAATAGTAGAATTCCAATCCCGTGTTACTCATTACTTATTATTATGGTAGACCCTGTTGACGCTGGGCATCGGCCAGCTTTTTCACTCCATTAAACAAAAGATTTGTGCAGAAACATCTGGAGCCACATCAGCGTGTAGCACTGCTTTTTCTTTACTTTTATAGAGTTTTTTCATTAAACGAAAGTTTAAATAGTTTTAAAACTAGATACATTCAGATATTTGAATTGGTTGCATTATGTTTGGTATATACACAAGAGTATAAAATAATACATATTTGCACAGTAACGACTAAAGCTTATTCTGAGCTTCAAATATGAAGTCACGTGAAATTAGATGTGGCTTTACTGACAACTGAACGTGGGATTGTCGCTATGACAACAGAGTAACACGTTGTCCTTCAAGGAAGGTGTTATTATACAGAACAAATACAAAAAATAAAGGGCTAGTAGAATCTTATCCAGACCTAGTTTGAACAACCAGTGAATACTGAATGAGCATGATCTTGTAACAGTATTTTTCACTAAGTGTAGATCACTTGTTATCGGGGCACAGAGAGTAGTTGTGCCTTATTTTACCATCTGATACAGCTCAGAGGAGTGGGGAAAAAAATGACTCAAGAGTGTGTGCATATCAGCGCTGTTAACATGCTTATAAACAAAGTTTAAGAACTGATAAGAGAAGCCAATTATTTGATGTGAACCCCATCAAATCTGATAAATATTTGCAGAGATAAGGCCACAGAAATCATGCCGTTGCTCCGGACAAAATGTTTAGTGTTGCAACATAAGCTTAAGAGGAATCAAACACACTGGGCCCAGATTACCTGATGTGTATAAGGGAACATGAGGATCATGAGTTTCTTCAGAACATATTTGGTGTCGACTGCGAAGAAGTACTTCAGCTTGTTCACGGACATGAATCGGCCGATCTGAAAGGCAGAGCGAAAACATTTACGGAACAGATGAGAACGGACAGTCTGCCAAAGTCAACTCTTTGAGCTGACTCACAGTTGCTTCAACGCGCCTGCTCATTGGATAAAACCTCCCTGTGTGGAAGCATGCTGCGTCTCACTGCCAATCCACCTGAGATGAATCATTTGTTTAAAATGTCCCCTGTCACCGTTAGTTAATATTACAAAATCAGCTCCACTGAACACCTTCCCACTGAAATTGACAGCTTCACACTTTTTAGTCTTTCTCATTAAAAGGACTAACATGCAGTGCTGGAATGACAGAAATGAAAGCCCAAGTGCTTCACCATAATCTGGAAAAAAGGTGATCTTACATTACTTTAAAACACTGCTACTAATAAATGTTTTCAATACCCATTTATGTTTAATCATGCAACAGAAACATGAGGAAAAAATCTACTTAAATATCTACTTAAAAACCGTAGGCTTTGACTTTATCTATTCGTATTTCATATCTGAAGGAGCCTTGGGATCCTTCAGGTGACTTTCCTCACCTCTTTGTGTACTATATCTTTTCCTTGGTTGGCCAGGGAGGAGCCGTACATCATTGCAGCGTTGGCCATGGGGTCAGTGAACATGTTGTTCACGTTTGCACCTCCCTGCATGTCATTAGAGGGTGCTCCCATGTTGTACCCGGGAGTGTAATAGCCCTGACTGTTCAGCCCAGGCGCGGCGGAGCTGGTGTCTTCAAACAAAACGGAGTCGCCCGTGGGAGGAGCTGCACGAGCTCGTGGCTTCGCTGCTAAATCAAACAAACAAGACAGATAAAAATCAGCAACATTTGAATGCATCCATCCATCCCAGTTACAGTAGGGTCACTGGAGGCTACAGCCTATCCCAGCTGACATGGGGTGCCTGTACAGGCTGCATTTTTAAATTTTTTTGGGAAAATGACTCACAAAGTCGTACTTCAGGTTAGGCAAAGAGGGATTTTATCAAATTTAGCTGCAGCATTATAAGAAAATTATTCCATTTTACCACAGGCACTCAGAACTTGAGACGACTTGACTGGTTATGTTTATACGCACATAAACATTACCCAAAACTCTGCTGGGTAAACAGCTCTTTTGATGTGACAGTAATATGGGCTGGTGAAAAAAGGGCACAATTTAGAGGATATTTGGTTTGCTGTCTGGGAACAATATTTGCAAAATTATATTATGAATGTTTTATTATGCATGTACTCACAAACAGATTGTGACACACACCATGGTTTTGATGCAACATGACAGTGTTTGGTGTGTGTGTGTGTATATGTGTGCATATGTGTATGTATAACTGGAGGCCAGGTGATGCTTTGTATTTCAATAACATGTTCAATATCCTTTATTTTCCCGTGGCTAACCTTAATTATGTATGTACATGTTATTTACACTTCATCAGTATAAGTAAAGTCACTTAATCTGACACGCTTTGTGCTGTTGCATTTCACTTGTCAGGCAACAGCACAAGAAAGAAGAAGTAGGTTCTGTGTGAGGATGTTTGCTCAAAATGAGCAAAACGGAGTAATCTCCTGGTGATTCAGGTTTCCACTTACTTGCTCGGTACCCGTGATGTGGCAGGTCCATTGTAACGCTTGCTGACGTTAGCTTGAAATAAAAACAATGACACGTTAGCTACATTTCCGCTTACATTGCATAAACTGTTGGCGGATTTTTCAACAGCGACTAACGTAACATGGGTGTTGAGTACGCTTTTTTTCCCAGAAATGTCACACAATTCCTGTATGTTAGTAAGAAGCTAATCTGCAACAACCCCGAGCTACCAACTTATTAAAGGATGACCGTTGTTGCAGCCACTTTTAGCTAGCTAGCTAACCAGATGTGCTACGTTAACAACAGCTTATCGGCCAGAAACGGCAGGCGAGTTGTTCCAAAAAGCTCACTGACAATGTCAGCCATGTCCACACTGCTTGTCCGAAAGAGTAAATCACCACAAATGACAAAAATATAGAAGATAAGGACACTTACCTACACAGCTAACGTTGAAGACCAGCTACGTGGCTACGTAGTCTTTGGACTGGTCCCACCCACTCGCTGCTGTTGGTTCCTCTGTGCCTGCGTGGCAGAAGGTAAAACACACACTCCAGACAGGGCTCCCAACTCCCAATGATACTGTCTGACATCCTATTCATCCTGCAGCGATTACACAGGTTTACAGAAAAACGAAGCCCCGAAAATGAGTCTATAAACAGGAAAATCTGCCTCAGCTCCTGAGAAATAATAATACAAACTGAGGTGTGTGTGTGTGTTTGTGTGTGTGTGTGTGTGTTTGTGTGTGTGTGTGTGTTTGTATGTGTGTGTGTGTGTGTGTGGGGAGGGGGGGGTTATAAAAATCCCTGGTTCAGTGTAAAGGGTAAATAGTGTCACCCACTCCGCATTAACAAGAAATCCTTTTCATAGAAAACGTTTTTTTCCACTGCAACCTTTGATAAAGTGCACATTTCCGAATGGCAAAACCCACAGACAGTCCAGCCCACATTTATCTGACTTGCACAGGCACAAATCGCAAATATGATTCAGTGAGTGTCGGAATAAATAAGCACTTTAAAAATACTGGAAAAAAGTCATTCTTTAAATGTCAGGTTAAATGATTATGAGATAGAGTAATTGTGACCGGTGTTGAATTTCTACTCAAACGTTTTGGGGAAAGCTTGTTCCAGTGCTCTCAACATAGTGGCTGAAAGGGATCAGATCAAGACTGCATACAGACAAGCGTTTTACCATAAGTCCTTAGAACGATCAGCCAGAGGCCTTTTTTGAAACAGATTAGATATTGCTCACCAATGAGTAAAATCCTTTCACTTTTGTTATGACGACATCTGGTTTGAATAGCCAGTTTGACATGTTTACATTCAGGACTACTTTGTCCACTATACAGTCATTTAGTTCATGTTTAAAGTTTGAATTGCCAATAATACATTTAAGAGAGAGACATGTTTAACCATGTTTATAACAATGATTTATCAGTAATCATTTACATGATTTTTTTCCACTGGACATCATTAATTGATATTATGAGCACTGTAGAAATAAAGTACATACAGAATGTTCATAGTTTAGATAGTCAGTTAGTTCATGTTTAGACCTGCACAGTAACAATTAGATAATCTCCGCTCGTTGTGCGTAAGCATAAATGAACAAGGCGTGAATTGCAACACCTACCTAAGCAAATAAGTTAAAGTTTGCGTGTGCCACAGCCGTGGCTCAAAGGCATGTGCTTGTGGGCTGAGAGTGTGGGTGTGGGTGAGTTGTTTGAATGCATGTGGATTTTTTTGGCATGATTAATTCTACTGGAATCCAAACTTTCCCCACCACCCCGGAAAATGTTGAGTTTTGGAGGAAAAATGTGCAGACCAACTGAAGAGTGCAATGACTGCCACACTTTCTCTCCAAAACTTCCTATTCGAACCACACAGACAACAAAAAAAAAAAATCTGTGATGATTTTATCAATGTCAAAGCAGGCATTGATATTAGTTCTATGTTGATCATCCAGGCACAAAAAGGCTGCCTGAGGATGAATGACTTATAATCACAGCAAAGAAAAAGAAGAAAAAAAAGGTACCTGACATGCCGTTACATGTTGCCATTTGAGACACTGATGTGTCATCATCAAATTCCAAAGGCCTCAGTCACCTGATGCTCACTTTTGCCCCACTTCTCCTTGACATGATAATATCATTTATGGAGAGAACAAAACGCCAGCATACAGTACGTTTCCCAACTATGACGCTGTGTAGTATTCAGTCATGTAGGTCAGCAAGCAGCAACACAGATCCTGGTCTGATTCAACCATTTGTTTATGGATTCATTGTGGAGCAAAGAAAGACAAATTAACTGATTTAAGATTTTAAAACAGTCTCCTAAAAATCCCAGGACTGAAAATAGCTGCAATATGAGACCTTGGTGCAACAGTCAGCAGCAGGAGAAATCACTAGATGCCGGGAACTCTGTCCTTGTGGGTCTGCAAGGTCAGCAGCTGCTGTGACAGACTAAGCCCACCCAATCAACAGCGTGCAGTTTTTAAATTATTACTTGGCACTAGAATGTGCTTGCAAGTTGAAAAAAAGAAGAGGAGTGACAAGAAAAACAGGCATTGCAATGGGCTGTTGAATATCTGAGCAGATTTGTACCCTTTGACTCATTTCCACAAGCAATGTGGGCTCATTGATGTGGTTTGTGAAGTGAGAGTGGCTGCCAAAAAGCCTTAAGGTTTGCCAGCACGTGCTCTCTTCTCTGCCAGACTCAGAAAATGATGTTCTTGCTCATCTTATATCAGGTTACTTGATTTGTGTTATTTCATGTAAAATATGCTGTATATGAGGACAGATGTGAAAGTAGTAACTCACACTTATGTAACCACTATTTTGTGGTCCGCACTGTAAAGTAAGATCTTGTTTAATTTATCTGGACATAAAAAATGGAACCTAATTTGACTTAAAAATATTTATAATTCCACATTAAATGTAGTATGATGTGTCTGAGTAAAATCAAACTCAAACTCAAGCCTTCCCATTTGGTTATCAACACTTATTCTGTTGCCTACAAAGTATTAATGTTGTATTCTCTGTTTAAAGATTTAGAAAATTGATTTACTGTGAAAACAGCGGGAATATTTTTAATTTTTTTTTTGTTCTTCAACAGAGCTACACTGATACTGTTAAGTCTATGATGTGATACCTATCTTAGCTTGTTAACAATCAATGCCGATGTACGGAATTGGAAAATATAGGGCCAATCGTATTTCCACGATAACATTAGCTAATGGCAAAATAACTCAGCTTCACAGAGCGAGGCGAAGGAATCCCGGGTGTTCGCCTTCAGGAGGAAACTCACCAAATATGGGCAATGACGACATAACACGTGGTAACTTTCGTGAGAGATTCCAGACAACACTATTTCCCGTAAGCAGGGAGGGGCGTGGTGAACTTCTAGTGTCACTTTAAGAGTTTACAACCTCACAATTATTTCCAGACTTCCGATTCTACGCGCGTGACTAAGGACAACAACGGTTCCTGAAGACCAGTTTGGAATGTTTTAAGTGAGTTTGACTGAAGAAAGTGACTTTTTCTTTTCCTCACTCCCCTTTACCTCGTGTCAGTTTGGACTCTACCGACTTTCGGCAATAAGGTGGGTTTACCCTTAGTTTGAAATAACACTCAAGACTAGGACCGAAAGTTATTTTATTAGTAGTAGCTCACCTAGCCGCAGCTGGAATCAGTTTTCTTTTCACCAAAGCTGAAACCATGTATGGAAACTTTGGGGGTCAAGGAAGAGGCAACCCAACCTTTACAGGCAGTCTCCCTGGGTCAAGTTCGGCATCCCAGGGAAGCACCAGCACTTCGAGCACACAACAGGAGCAGGTAGGTGCCACACCAGTACACTGTGACACAAATGAGAAGTTAAAGTGGTATAGAAAAGAGTAAATATACAGTAATGGCAAGTTTAAAGAAAATCAGCTGAATTGATGTCACATAATGTGCTTTTGTGCAAAAATTCTAATTTACATAATACTTCATTTAACATGTTATAGTAATATTATGTTAAATTTTCAGCCTTATTTTTGTTGTGCTTGAATCATGCTTAATTTACCCCTGGTGAAGAGTAAATTAAGGAGGCCTGGTTATTTACAACAAAGATTCTGATGTTCTCTGGGGTTTTACATGTGATTAGTAATTAATCATATGTAAAACTTCAGACAACATCAGAGTCTTGGTTGTAAATAACCAGTTATAGTGTTGGGCATTAATTACCCTTCTTTTGAATTGACTTTTTTATTTCTGTTTGTATTAAAGAAATTGACAATGGCAAGCAGCGGTCAGTTTGTCCCCAGCCTCAATGCCATCACAACCAACCAGGACCTTCAGTGGCTGCTCCAGCCATCCCTCATGCATCCTCCGGGCCCTTCACAATCACCTGTACCTCCTTATCCAACGCTCCTCGCCTCACGACCACTGGGTCCACAACCTTCCCACTCTCATCTCCTCAGACCGGGGGTCATAAGAGCGGGTGCAAATACTACATCCTCAACAAGACGCAGGATTGATGTACAAGTAAGGAAGCGATGACGTGAATAAGCAAGGCACACATGAGAGTAGATTAGGTGTGTCTCCACTATTTGAAAAAGGAGAGTTTTAAAGCTGAGTGATGACTGATGGAAACTTTACAGGATCCACGCTGTCCTCATTTGGGAGTGGAGATTCAAAACTGTGGACCGTGGCTCAATCATTCTTGTGTAACTAATGTGTAATATCCTGTAATTCTTTGTGACATAAGTGTGTCATTTCCTCCTGTCTTGCAAACAACATCAGTAAAAAAAAAAAAAAAGCTTATTTTGAAATCAAATTCGGGAACATTGTCAAATCTTAGATAGTTTTAGAGGAAAAAGCAAAACGGTGGTCATACACTTTCTGACATTTTCCAATTTGAGTTGTTGATAGTAAAATGACCACATGTGACACAAACGACTACTTGTTTGAGTAGCTGTGTTCAAATCATTTCTACACCATCATTCTCATTAGCAGTGCAATCTAGTTTTTGTTTTTTGCCAGACGCACATTGGCACACGTCCTCGAAACAAAGCTGTAATTTCATGCTACAGGAAGTAGACCATCATGTGACTCACAGGGGCAAGTCATATTCTCTGACTCACACCTGAGTCACAGATGGGGTCTGAGCATGAGTCATCCGCCCAAAAGGGCGGGAAACTTCTGTTAATCAGTCATTATTTATTAGTCTGTTGGATGGAGTAAGAGTTCAGGTGTTACAAGACACAAAAGACTAGACGTTACTGAATAATTCAGCCGCCATGACTGCCATGCCTGCCATGACCCAGGGCACACACATGGTGGTAGCATTGTGCTGGACTCTGAGCATCAGATGTGAAGAAAATTAAGCCCAGAATGGCTCAGTTTTTTCTGACATTATGGTGACCATCTCCCCATTTGATACTTTTTAATACATTTTGTTCCTGTTTTTCCTCAAAGTTATCACAGGAAGAGCTGGAAAGACGCAGAATAAGGAGGGAAAGGAATAAAGTGGCAGCAGCAAAGTGTCGCAATCGGCGTCGGGAGCTGACAGACTCATTGCAAAATGTGAGTGAGCTTTGTACTAAATGGCATAACTTTATTTTTTTAAATCAGTCTCTGTGTGGCAGGACTTAAACTCATTTTGTCTTTCCCTTGGCATAGGAAACTGACCAGCTGGAGGATGAAAAGTCACGTTTACAGAAGGAAATAGCCAACTTACAAAGGGAGAAAGACAAGCTCGAGCTGGTCCTGGAAGCTCATCGCCCCATTTGTAAAATAGAGTCCTCTGATTCAGATTCTGACACGAGTCCATCTATTTCCTCTGTGGGAGTCATCAAACTGGAGCCGGAGGAGTCTGCTACGCCTGGACCCTCCACCAAACTGCCAGTAAAAGTGATGAAGCCCAAACCGAAGATAATGATCCCCACAAAGCCCGCGACGTCGGCTGTCCCTGCGGTCGCCTCAGAATCTGAGTCGCTCCACACGCCGGTCCTCACCTCCACTCCCTCCCTCCTGTCCTTCTCGGCCGGTATGGTTTTCACTTATCCATCTGCCTCTTCAGACACCGGTGCCTCCACCGCATCCCACGCCGCTTCGTCCCATCCGGGAGGCGTCCAGCGGTCTGAGCCCTGTGCCGTCGCTCACCGCCGCAGCAGCAGCAGCGGCGACCAATCAGATCACTCGCTGCACTCGCCAACCATCCTCACACTGTGATCCACACACACCTTGAAAACACTAGAGTAAATTTTAAGCGCCACCACAATGTCTGTGACAAAAAGGAGGCCGGGCAAATGCTTCGGAAGAGGAAGTGAGAATTTCAAGCTGGTCAGCTGCTTCATTTTGTCATTTTTAGTTCAAAAGAAATTTTGTGGCATTAACAGGATATAAATGTTACACTCGTTAGGTTGAAAGTCTCTACATTTTTTATGTTAAAAGCTATATGATGGAATGAATGTGATAGATTTTTTTATTTTTAAATACAGATATATACTCTAAATAAATATTAGTTTTCTAGAAAAAAAAACTGTGGTAGCTCCTTTTAATGATACGTTTTTAATGATACTTTTTTAACATCTTGTTAAAGTATGTGATGTCATAAACACTTTATATGAGTCCTCAAAAACAAGTAGTTTACCTACTAATAATTATCCTTATTGTTTGCATGATATGTACACAAGACATTATTGACCACTAAGGCTGGGCCGTAGGAGTTGATATGAACTTTATTATAATATATCTTATTGAAGAGTGTAATATATTTTTGGAAACGTTTGGATTTTTTCATTTATTGGGCAGTGCCTTACTTCTATTTTTTGTCTAAACTGTTGGACTTCACAGACAATAAAGAACAAATGTGTGCGTGGAATCAGTGACGGTGTGAAGTTTCAGTGGTAAATAAACAGCATGTGGATCTAATAAAAACTCATTAGATCCACCATTCATTTCCCGTTTGAGAAAAATTAGGGGAGAGTCAAGATTAGAATGGACACAGCAGAGCTGAGAGGCGTGATCACTTCTGGATCCAGCTTCTTCTGAGGTTCTGTCTAATGTTCTGTGTCATCTGGTCTGAATAAATACGCCCGGTTAAGACGTCATGATCAAGTTTGGGAAATTATTATGGACATACTTCAGCCTTTCTTGACAGAGAATCAGATAATTGAAGCTGTCAGCTGTCAGAACAATCAATAATGACATTCATCTGTGGTGGCACCCAGTGAAAGTGTTTGATGACTGCAGCATATAGTGACAAAGTAACGGCCGCTCCCTGACCCTGAGCTTTGTTATCTTACCCAAAAATAAAGTGCATCTCTTGCTAATTGATTCAGGGCTCAGAAAGCAGCGGGTTGCACAGGCTGTCGGAGTCAGACTGGGAGCTACAGAGTTCAGGGGAGAAAACAAAGCCGTGGTCTGTGTGTGCACCAGTACGTGTGTAAAAACAGGACAGCCCTCACAGGCTCCCCAGAACTTGAAAACAAGGATTCCAAATCAAACGAAAGTAAACTGAACGCCTGTCTTCTTTGGCCGGGCGTCAGTGGAACAAGGCTGGTTGGGATGTGAAGGTCAAAAGAGAAATGGCAGAAATCTATCCATCACTGAGTGTCATTTGCATGTAAATGCTTGTTACTGCAAAGTCAAACACACAAAGAAAGGCCAGGACAGCACAGGGTGTCGGACCCACTGTATTTAAAGCTCCTCAGTGCACCAAGAGCAGAGCCCACCAATAAAACAGCTGACGACAAAATAAATCTTCTCTAATCCATGTGCGTTAAACTGGAAATGGTTAGTAACACTAAATTTAATACAGATAAATCAAGATAAATGAGGGTCAAAGTTAAGATTATCCCTAATGTTACAGATTAAATACGAAGCATGTCTTACAGAAAAAAAAGCCGATCATCACCAGCCCAAACAAATTCTGTGATATGCTAATTGAACAACATCAACTACAACATCAAAAAGAATGTCAAACGGGTGAATGTAACCAGAAGAGTAAAAATCATTCAAACTCGTAGACCTGCCAGTTCCATACAAAGAGTTTTTTAGTTGGATTTAAAAAAAAAAAAAGAACTTTAGTGAGGTCCAATGACATCTAGCGTGTCTGATGTGAAACTTGGTGTGCCGGTTCGGCACAGGCTCCGGCTCGTTTTACACTGCCGTGCACAGCAGCCCCACCCAGCCCTCACGGGCCCTTACGACAGCCTGTACAAAGAGTGACGTTCATCATGCACATATGGCACTCCAATCCTGTCCTGAGGAAGAGAGTGCATCAAATATTACACAACTGGGCATCTATAGCAAAGGCTAATATGAAATAGTTTCGTTTCTTTTTTTTCTTTTTTATTATCACAACACCTCTATTTCAGTGAATTTGATAGACTAATATGGCTCAAAACTGGATTTGAATTCATCTTTAGATCTGTGAATTTAAAGATCTAAGATAATGCTGTCCAGTGCAATAGAAAAACAAGGCTTCTACCAGTGTAGGCTAGTCCAGTGCATGAGTTAAATTTATATGTGACCCACTTTTTGGTCCCATTTTTTTTTCCTTTCCCCCCCCCAACATCAGAACACTGAAAAAGGAGAAAGAGTAGTTAGAAAAATGCTGTAAAATCTTGATAAATTATCATCTGTCAAACATCTATCAAAGTCCTGAAATGTGTAGTGTGGTAGAATCTTTGTCAACTCACAACCTATGGTGGCACACACACTTTGCAGCATTCGGAAAGCCCTAATGTTTGTTGGTTTTTCTCATATTTTGTTTGTGATTTCAGTCCGAGTCCACTGTCTCCTTTTTTTAAGTAGAGAAACCACGTAAACCCGCCATCAGTCATCAGGTGAGCACACCAGGTGGAGCTGGTCTGGACTTCCCACGCTGCCTGTGCTGGAGCTCCCGTCCCCCAGGTCCCGGGCCACCATGCAGGGCAGGTTTAGCTCCGTGGAGCCCCCGGGGCTGGAGTCGCTCCGGCTGACGCACTCCTCCTCCAGAACCAGGCACAGCTCCTTCAGGTCCAGGTTCTCCTTCACCAGCCCGTCCTGCAGGCGCTCCAGGTCGGCGAGCTTCTTCAAATAGCCGCCCAGGTCTTCGCGCATCACTTTGGCGGCGTGGTGCCCGAACAGCTGCCACTCCCGGGCCAGCTTTTTCACTTTGAGCCGGTCGTCGTCCAGGAAGCAGCACAGGTCCCGCAGCTCCACGTTCTCCTCCTGCAGCCGCTGGTTGATGACTTTCAGTTCCCTGATTTCGAGGAGGTGTCCCTGCAGCTGTTTGTTGACCTCTTTGATGAGGCGGCCCCGCTGGATCAGGGCTGATATCTTCTCGGTCTCCTCTTTACGCAACCGGCTCACCAGCTCCTCTTTGGAGCACGCCAGCAAATCCTCGTCAGACATCTTTGACAGTTCTCTATTTATGATCTCACCGTCGCTACCCATTTTTTTTTTTATATAAGAGAGACAACAAGCCCGTGGGTACCTGAGAATCTTTTAAAAGCACTGAGATTAGAGCCGTACGTAATGCTCGACGGAGTTATTACATCCTCATCCTCCTCCTGCAGCCACTACGCCGAACCAGATGTCATGCAATCACGGAGCACCGGGTGTGATTTAAAGGCAGAAACATGTGATGTCTTTATTTAGACAGTTTCCTTCAAGGCAGCCCGACTTCAGTCCTATTTTAAATCTGCCCTCCTCCTATGAAGCTTTAATGAGGTCGTGTGTGGAGATGCACCGCAAGCTCCCATTAATGTCAGTCTGTCATCCTCTCAGCAGCAGGCTCCGTGCACCAAAGGCCTCTGGGAGCGCAGCAGTCCGGATCCCCCTCTCCTCCCAGCGGCTGATTTCTTTTTTGCGGAATTTCGGCCCTCCCCGCGCCGTCCGTCCACGAAGGCCCGCTCGATCCACGGAGACCTATTCCAGCGGCCACGGACGCACGCCCTGCAGATGTTGTGCTTTTCGCGTCGCTGGCATCGTCTGCTCAGGCTGCGTGCTCCCGGTAGCTCCGGCTGAATGAACTCCGGTTCTCGGACGGGTCCGGTTCCGGTGCAGCGGCGGCTCCCTTCAGACACGAATCATCCCTCTGGATCGAGAACCAAACGAAACGCGAGCAAATCTCCCCCAGAATCAGACCACAGTCGGTGCACCACCTCTGCTCATCCTCCCGGGCTGAACTGTTGCCACAACAATGTCCGCCTCCTCCACTTCCACCACTCTCAAGCTGTCGCTCCAACGGAAGTCCTTCTCCGTGGCCTTCAAAATAAAAGCCGCCACTGGGTGCTATTGTTCAGAATTGAGTTGTGACAGTTGGTTCCGATTTGCGTGCTGAATTGAAACATATTGTAGACATTACTTCTTTATCTGGTGCTCCAGTGTCATCACATTTCTAAGAAACATGTATTCCAAGTACACTGGGTTACGTCTAAATGCACACCTTCAAAATACATCAACATTCAAGCACTGTTCACTGTCTTGACTCGAAACCCTGCCAGATCCTTTCCTTGTGGAGTTTGCATTTTCTCCCTGTGCAAAAGTGGATTCTGTGGGAGCACTCTGACTTCCTCCCACCATCAGACACACACACACACACACACACACACACTAGGATTGTCTAAAATGTCTGGGATTGAATATGAGTGTGTATGGTTGTTTTGTTGATTTCTTTGTGGACCTGTAATACGTTGGTGTCCTGCATGCAAATGATATGAATGCTGAGTGGTACAGGACTCAGATGGCTGGTCTGAATTTTGATGTTCCTATATTGAAACAAAAAATCATTAAATATCGTTTTGTGCATTGTGGCACGAGACATTTTGTGGACTAAATCTGTTAGTGTGTGGCCTAAAACGTGGCCAAATGCATCCCAGGGAACGTCTCCAATGCAAGTGTAGTTTCAATCTGTCTGGTTCAAGTGGCTGCCCGAAATGGTTTTATTTTCTATAATGTTTTACAGGAAGTTGTGCTAACTGCTAACTTGACTCATGGTTGATAAAAGCAATTTGAAATGTTTGTGGTTTTCAATGATCTTTCATGGGGCTCTTTGAAAAGCAATAAGAAGGGTCTGAAGCTTGATTGTAGAAGACAGGACTGAAAAGCTGTTGTAGTAGTTGGAAATGATCTGTTTCTGTCTTCAAGCTAATATTAAACAAACAACAGCATTTCTAATGAAGATTTGTCCCCTGTGTCCCCTCGGGGAGTCTTTATGGTACTATTCTGATCCAAAGTGGTGTTTTTACTATATGATGCTGTAAAACCAAGTCATAGATAAGCATCATTTACAAAGGAAATGAAAAGGAAAGACTATATGAAGTTACTTCCTGTGGGTTTTTCTTTGATCGGAACGATCCTAAAAAATCAAACCACACTAAAATTTCCAAAAGGCTTTTTTACATTTACTACAAATGTTCAGAACAGTCGAGATGTGTCAGTGAAGGGACAACTTGTTTCTTTTCAAAGATCTCGGTTGGAAAGTGTGACTATAGTTTTTTTTTTTCCATGGGTTTATGCTGAGGCATTCAGCCACATCCTTCCGCCCTCTGTCCCACCTCCATTGTTTCACTGAGGCCATAACAATGTAGGGTGTTAACCGTGTAAGGGGGGGATCTGGGGATGGAATCAGAGTGTCATGTGAGGTTAGAAATGATAGTGTTGATGCACAGTGAGAAGCCCAACAAAAAGACAGGTCGTTTCCCCCCTCATGTTGTAATTTTGAAGGACACATGCAGAAACACTGAAAGGGAGGGTGAGGAGAGGGATTTACAGGGATTTATTTGGATTAATCGCCAGAGGAAAAGAGAGCAGATTGTGTACAAGCAGGACAGCAAGCAAAGCTCTGACTGCAGGGTCCCCGAGAGCACAGAAGTCTATCTTTGATCTGATGCATTTCATAATAACTAAGAGCACAAATGAAAGGATAAAGGTAAAAAATAGGCAATTCTTTAGCTGCCAAATGCACTGATATAATTTAGGTCTCATAATTATCCACTGTTAGTGGGTTGAACTTTTTTTCTTAAAGGAATGCTTTGTGTTAGTTACTTGGATGCATAGCGAAATGATGTGATTTATGAGGTTTGAAATGTTTATCATACAACCATATATCACTGACTGTGACTCAAGTATGAATTTATGTCAGTCTTACCACTACAGTCAGAAATAATGAAAGAAGATAGACTGAGACAAATCATTGACTATGTGAGCTCAGCATTTTAGAAGCAGTTGTAAAAGAGATTTCTATTACATAGATATTCTTATATACAGAGCTGAATATCACAGTATTTTTTTTACCTTTGCAGTGTTACCCAGCCTGTGCTTTATAATACTAACTTGTGTGCACCGATATTGCTGTATGACCTGCACCAAGGGATTATAACTGCAATAAATTGTCCATTGTCATTACTAGAACTTGCACTGCAACTCTAAAGACTTGGAATTGTGCCATTTCCTACCCAAAATTAACAAGGATAAGTCACTTCTTGCTCTAGTGTTACTGGGTTTTTCAATGTTAGCAGGGAACAATCAAAACTGGGCTTTAATATCTTATGCAAAACTGCACATTATTAAAGTTTAAGCCAATAAGAGATCATTGAAAAGCTTTTGCAAGGACTAATTTGAAGTAAAAT